CCCGCTTTGCAAGTGACCCCTCCGATGCACCACGGATGCTGCTTCAACCTTCGACGATGAGGTAGTGGTGAAGTGGCGGAACGACGAAGAGGAGCAGTTCGCGTTCGACGATGTCGTTGTGAGATTCCCGAACGGAGTGCAGGACCACACCGGTTTCGTGCTCTTTTTCTGGCTATCGGCTGGCATAGGAGAAACAACAGGGGCCTGGATTTAGTTCGCCCGTTCATGGAGCCTGCATAGAGACAGTGGTTCCGTCTAAGCCCTCAACCTTGGCCCTTACCCTAAAAGTAAATGTAGTCGACATCAACATGCTCCGTATCGCAAGGGTTGGTAGTTCAGCCTGAACCGCATACCTCCTACACACTCTAAACCCTCAACTTCCCTGAAGCCCTCAACCCGAATCCGCACACTCCAAACCCCTAAAACCTAAATTGTTAGGTTTGCATGGTCTTTTCGGCTCAAGGACTAGCCAGGAGCAGTGCAGGGTTTTAAGTTTTCGCGTTTTTTGAGCCTCGCTGGGGGTTGTCCTTGTAAGGGTCAGGGTTTAGGTTTTAGGGTTTGGGGGAGTGTGGTTTTGGGGCCTGAGTGTTCATGGCGTGCTTCTAAGTTAGATTAATCCCGGACAGGAATATTCCGGGTTTCTGAACATACTAGGGATCCCTTTCCGGAGAAGCCCTGAACATGCCTCGGCTCTATATCAGGACTCGTGACTTTCTGAAAAAATCCGTATGCAGACGGTTTAGGGTTTAGTGTCTATAAGTTTAGGGTTTAGATTGCTGCGCCTTCTTTATTGCATTCCCATGTTGAGGACTGTTTCTTCGGGTGTTTCCGGTGAAAAGGACAACCCACCGAACCCTCGGGTCTCGGAGGACCCCTAGCTAATGTGCTCCTGCATCTCGGGGGCGAAGTCTCCGAAGTCTCCGACGCCTTTGGAGCTCTATGCCAGGTCGCTGGCAGATGATGTGGAGGTTGCGCGACACGTTCCAGAAACACCATTTGTACAACTACATGTTCGTCTCAATAGAGACAGCACCATCCGAATACAACAAACCGCATTTGTCCTCGGACGGGCATATGCATCTTCTCACACTATCCTACCATCCTCGATGAGTCTGTTTTCCGAGACGTTGTCCGATCTTTACGTGGCCTTCTGCGGCATTTGTTTGCCATCACATTAAACTGATCCCAGTGGGTCCTGCAACCCTTTATGGCTTGGGGATGTTCTTTACCCTAAACCTGAAACTGTTTTGGGTGTTTGTTTGTTTTTTGTTGCGCAGTGTGGTCGGATTTAGGCACGAGGGCGTTCGGAGCTTAAAGGCCTTGGTTCTGAAAGGTTGTTGGTTGGAGAGTTGAAGTGGTGTAGCATTATTTTGAAATGCCACTTCCTGATTGGATTACTCTTCACGGTGTTGTTATGGTAATCTTCACACCTCACTCCTGTTCTTGACCGTTTGTTGAACAAAATCGAGCTTAGGTTTCACCTGCAATCGGCCAAGCACCAAGAACCTCGCCTGGCGTGTTCGAGGGTGAGCACCGAAACAGCCCTAATTTAGCCTTCCATACAGCTCTGACCAGCACTATTTCAACACACACAAATCCTTTAGACTAGGAAGTCCTAATCACACTTAGAGTACCTACTTCTGCAGACCTTGCCAGGCTTGTCCGAGTGTGAGTGTCAAAATCACACTTCGCCTTCCGGCACTCTGAATTTGTGTAAGATAACTCCAGCGGCTTGCCGCTTCAACTGCAGCAGCTTCTCTGCCCGAAAGCGCGAGGATGACACCCTACCAAAGGGGCGTAAATAATCACCAGTACTATTTTGGGGTTCCTTGTTATATAATTATAAACGTAATAGTAGAAGCGGCCCCCAAACCCAATTCTAATCATTAAGGCGTCTATATTTCTCCCAGGTTTAATTGAATCATTACGATCTTTACAAGGCCAAACACTCACACCCAGGCTGTTCCGATGCAATTTCCCATGTACACGGTCGCCGCAGAGCTGCTGCTGAAGATGACGGTAGTCGAGCCACACGAAAAGCTGAAGGCTGGAATGATCGGATAAGCGAATTTGGAACAGCTTTGGGAAAGCTTGCAAAGGGTCCAAGTTCTGATACGGGTTTAGAGTTTAGGGTTTAGGGAATGAAGTGTGGTAAAGGCCCGATGCAAAAAGGGAATGAAGGGTGTGGCAGAACTTCGACAGTTGGTTCAAGGCCGGGAAAGTCGCTGTCACGACGGAGGACAAAAGAAGGAGTTGAATTTGACGAAGCTACTATAGGGGCCTTAATACGGACTTGCGCCTGGGCGAACAAAGACGGCTGACCTGGCACGTGCAGATCCTGAAACGGCAGATGATCTGCTTTTCGCAGATCCGTAAACTAGGAAACAGTGCTCCTAGAAGCACTTTCACAAAACTATGCCCGCCGAATATGATGCCATAACTATAATAAGGAACTCCCAAAGTAGTATGAGTAAGTATCTGGGCTCCTATATTAGTCAGGCTTTTGTGGTCAAGGGGGGGGTTCGGATTGCTTGACCAACAGCAGGCCCTTCAGCTGCAGCTGCCGTAGGGGTTTTAAGGTTTAGGTGGCGAACTGTTCGGAGACCGCTCTCGCTCGTCACACGCATGGGCCTCAGTATGGGTCAAAAAAGGGGGTTCACCACGGAATTCTGACGGAGCTAGTCTTGAGCAGGCTCGGGGCGACTTGGTCGTTTTCAGCAGCAACATCGGGAAAGCGGCCTTCGTGTCACATCAATGGCTGTCCGAATTCCATCCTGATCCCGCTTCTGGGTTTTGTTTAAGGAGTTTGCTCTAAGCTACCATGATACGGAAACTCTTCTTTTACGCTTTACGATAAGATACTGAGTATGCAACTTAAGTTCCTTCACGAGAGCCCAGGATTTCAAGCAAATGCGCTTCCTGCAGGATGCGATTGAGCGACTCCTGGCAGGGCGCGGCTCGTTGCCACTGGATTCTGCTACGGAGTCTGTCGTCCCCACGGCTAAACCCCTTCCCCTGCAAGACTTTCAGAAAGAAGCCTTATTCCTTTGGTATGACTACTTCTCCTGTCCGCAGCTGGAGGGCAAGAACTCCTTCGTCCTGGCGGGCAAGAACACCTTTGGAGAAGAGGGGGGGGGCGAGCAGGCAAGTGCCATCAGCAGCATCCCGGCCTACATCGCCCGATGCCAATTCTTCCTTGCTTTGTGTCCGACCCTCGAATGCCCAGAGGAAGCCAAGGTGCTTTCGATGACGACGTGGGGACGACGGGGCTGGTGCCGGATCGAGCGCGCGGCACGTGAACTTTCCAGAGACAACAGCTGGGTTCTTGTTCGGGGCGGAACGACCATGGAAGTTGTTGGCACCTCAATGTCTTTGATGAGTGGATCCGCAGGGGAAGGCGAATTTGCAGTTCCAGAGGATAGGCAGGCACTAGCTCCGGTCATGCGCAACATCGTGCTGCAGAAGCTGAAGCATTGCCTCCAAGCTGGCGATCTGCCCGGATTCCGGCGTCATTTCAACCTCCAAACTGTGCACCTGCGCGGGCTGGAGGTGGAACCGGTTGCAGGCTTCCTGCCAAGACACGATGCTGCTAGAGCCTCCGATCGCGACACCTTGGCAGAGTTCCTGCATCAGAACGGCTTCCAGGGATGTGGCGAAGTGGATAGCGCGGGATGGCGGCCCTTGCATTATGCAGCACTTTCCGGGGACACCGAGCTACTCCGGGCTTTGCTGGAGGAAGGAACCGATGTGAATTGTCGCACCGCCAAGGATGAACCGACCTTGGGATTTCCTCCCCGAATGTCGGCCCTTGATATGGTCGTCTATTTCAAGCACCAGAAACTGGGCTCTTGTTGAGGGATTCAGTTCAAGTTACTATACTATATAAAGAAACCATACTTGTCATTATAGATCCCTACTATGGTAACTTAAAATACACTCCTTAGCAAGAACCCAGGAAGGCTACCAAGCTGCTCCTTGAAGCCCGGGCACAGCTGCATGGTGGCCTCATCGCCGCCATGCACTTTGCCGGGCCTAGGGACAACGCGGAAGGCATCCGACTGCTTTGTGCGGCCGGTGGCCGCCCACTGGCGCAGGGCGTTATTGGATATACCCCCTTGCAGACAGTTGCCAGTTATGGGGCAATCCAAGCGGTGGAGGAGCTTCTGAGGCAGTGCCAACCGGATCAGCTGGAGCTATCGCGGACGCTTTGGGCTGCGGTGAACTTTCGCGGTGGGTCCGCAGAGATGGTGCATCGCTTAGTCGAGGTTCGTGCGGACGTGAACTTCCGGCTCAAGGCACCGGGGTGCTGAACATGCATTTTTTTGTGGCACAGTATGTCGCTAACAAGAGCTGAGAATGTCAAGCTTCATCGTTCAGACCCCCTAGGCAGTACACCCTGTGCAAACATGCAGGGAGAGAGAGCGAGAGAGAGAGAGAGAGAGAGAGATGGAGAGAGGGGGATATGTGTATATGTATATAGACTGTGTGTATATATATATATATATACATATGTATGTGTGTGTATGTGTATGTAAGTATATATATATATATATATATATATATATATATATATATTACACACACACACATGCACATCTGCAGCTGTTTTGCGTGTTTGTTGTACATTGCCCTGTGGCCAGAAGAGCCGCCAGGTATCGCGTGAGTTCCGGCTACTTGGGCGGCTGCTTTTTGCGAAGAAGTCCCTGCAGCACCGCCTTGGTCGGGTGACGTCTCTATCCGAAACCCTGCAGGTTCCAGTTAAGGAGCTCTTTTTCAAGGGACTCTGATCTAGGATCTCTACAAGGGTTGCACATTATGAGGAGAGAGCTATTGAAAGGGTCAGGGTTGCTGCGAGGGTTATGCGAGGGCTTTGAGGGTAGGCGTATCGGGCTCAAATGGTTGAGGGTTTATGGGCTTGGGACTGCTATTTGTAAGTTCTGTCGTTCTTAAGTTTGTCAACTGAGGAAAAGGTCCAGCACCAGCACGACAGCACGCCGCTCATGCAGGCTGTTCGTACGGCCCAGTGGGAAGCTGCTGCGACCCTGATTTCGGCTGGTGCAAGGACGAACTAATACATGGGGCCTGAATGATTACCAATGCTATTTTGGGGGTTCCTTCTTCTGATGATGGTCGAAAAACCCAAACCCCTATATATTCTAATTAAGTTCCCAATGGTTTTACATGTTATGTGAGGGACCATCAAGGGATAGTACTAATAATGATTATTCCGATTTCGGCCGGTGCAAGGACAGACCTGCAGAATTGCAAGAAGCGCACCGTGGCCGACTTCGCCAGACCTCTATCAATCCCGAGCTACTTGCAGATGGGGTTGGACGGGGACCCATCCGAATGTCAGAGAGTGTCTTCCCTGGCGCTTGCGGACTGCTACTTAGAGATGTAGCCGCAGATTGAAACAATTTTCAGTGCTTGGCCTGCATGCATGCACCTTGGTGCATGCTGACAGCACCGATGCGTGAGCAGAAGCGCCTGCTTCATCGACACAGCATGCCCGAGCGTTTGAGAGATGTGTTGGTTTGTCGAGGTGATACGCAGTGCGCCCCTTGGGCAAGCGCCCCATGTATAATAGGGGCCTAAATAATTTAATTGCTAATACTATTTTGGGGGATTCCTTACTACAGCTATAGTATAGTGGGCCTCAAGCCGTGTTCTAAGTATTAAGGCCCCTATAGTAATCGGATGCGCTTTGTTCGGAGAACAGGCTTCGCTCCGAACAGGTGCCTCGCAAGCAATGATTTTCTGAGTCAGTGCCCCCCAGTCGAGGTGTAGTTCTTTAGGGTCAGTTTTAATTAGGCTCATTTCTATAGAATCTATATGGCCCAAATTTCGAGAAGGACCATCAGAAAGAAGCACCATAAAATCGACTGGAACTGCAGTACAGGATGTCTCACTCAAAGCATCCCTGCCCTGAAGGCAGTGGACTTGTCCGATTTTATTTAATGAATCTCCGAAGAAAGCCAGCAACAGGTGTCAAAAGAATCTGAAAGAGTCTGGTGGTTCAGAGACCCCCAAATCACGCAGCTCTCATTGACTATCCGCAGCACGCATTCCCTACTCCTCCTACCGGTAGTTGGCCGCCAAGACCGCGAGGCTGTTTAGGACGCTGCGCTTTACGAGCCGTGGACCTAGTTCCTCCTCCTCCTCACTACGACTACGGCTGCTGCTGCTGCTAACTACTAAACTACCACCACCACGACGACGACCACTGCCACTACTACTTTTGTTGCTTATGACCAGTGCACGGACGAAGCACTTGCAGCAATGTCTGTCAGAGTGCCTGGCACAAGAATTGATCTCCCAAGTGGGCAAAAACCCTACCCTAAACCCTAAACCAAAACCCTAAACCCTAAACCCCTTCGATGTGATGCGCCAGGATTGCCACGAGGTGAAGACGGCGCTCGCAGGGGCATGGAGGCCAGGGCCCTTCAAGGGGATATGGGAGTATCCGAAAAGTGGGGACCCTACTACAGTACCCTAAGAGGGTCCTTGCTATAAGCACCCCCAAAAAATAAGGTACGCCCCCTAAACTATCGGAAGCTCCCATATTTTTCCAGTAACGACCAGGTAACCAGTGAAATCTTGCGGTGCAGTCCTTACTCCAGGCCTTGTCTTAGACCGAGACCTTAGAACTTGAGCCATCCGCCCGTGGCCTGTAGCTCCATTGAGCAGCAGCTTGTAGAATCTTCGGGTTGGCAAAGTCATCGTCATACCCCGGACTTCACATGAGTCAACTCTATAAAGAAAGACCCATGATCACACGAAGCTCGGATCCAACGCAATCCTGTAGTCGCACAAACCGTAATCCTCAATTCGCATCCCAGAACAATCTCCACAATCACGAGAGCCACTTCGTAAAGATCTCTAAATACTTGACCCGAATCCAGCGTGATAGTGGTTCCAAACAAGTTCCTGGTCAGTGGCCCACGAAGCGGTTCATTCGTTCCACGCTAAACCTCAAACTCCTAGGCCCTGGAAACCCTTCCACACTGAGCCCTGAAGACCCTGAAAGCCTTAAAGGCCCCCCAAATCCCAAGACGTTCAGATTTAGCCACAAAGCTCGCAATCCCCAAACCCGCAACAAATCCTCCAAACCGAAGCAACTGGAAAACCCTTACCAATCCAAGGTGCTGCGTCACTCCTGAACCCGAAACCCAAAGCACCCCGAAAAAGCCCAGGGGGTTCAGGGCTAGTGCTAGTAGGGTCTAGGGCCTAGAGCCTACAGGGTTGAGTTTTGACCATTGACTTCAGGAACAGACTCTATACTAGTCTATACTTCATGTAGGGAAGCCGTACTTAGTGTAAGATTTGTGTCCCATCTTTTTTGGTACATGTGGCTCTTTGCAATCCGCCGACTATATAAACCCTTTCTAAAAGCTTGTGGAGTCCGTCTAACTTCCTTCAGCACTTATTGAAAACCTTTAAGAACTTTTCCCGCACCTTGTACCCTAAACTCCTTGAGCCACATCCTAAACCCCATTTCTACTTAATCCTTGGACTATATATATACAATATGTGCATGCAGGCATCAAAAGGCCATTGTCCCGTAACTCTGAACCCTAAACCCTATCGACCCACATGCCTCGCCTGCATTGTCCGAGTGTGAGCGCCGAAGCCCTATCGAACACATGCTTATGCAAGAAGGTCTCGGAGAGGCAGGGCTCGAGGCAGCGAAATTGAAGCAGCGCTTCAACTTCGTGCGAGTGGGAGAGGCTCTGCATGGGGATCCATGCTGCAGGTTTTCATGGGCTGCCTAGAGTGTATAAGGGTCAGGGTTTGCTTGTGGGTTTTAGGGTTTGGGGCTTAGTAAGGTCTTAGGCTCTGAGCAGGAAAGCCAAAGCATTTGGGTTTCAGGGTATGGGATTTCGGCGATTTCAGGTTCGTGATCCGCTTGGGAGCTGTTCCCCCGATACTAAACCCAAAACCCGAAGGGCCCAAATACCCGAATAGTAGGGTTCCATGGTCCAAAAACTGGGAATGGGGATTGCTTGGCGCCCTGCTTTGCGCATTGGAACCAGAACATGCGTTTAAGTCTGCTGACGTGCATTGGGACCGGGCGGGGGGCCGCAGAAGTGCTGGCACTGCATGTCTCTCCCTAAGGGTCCATGTACTCATATAGTAGTATATACAATACATTGGCTTTAATGTAGTCCCTCTTTTTGGTACTTTGGGGCCCATGTATCTCTATATATAGGGGTACATGGACCCCTGAGCGTCTCGAAGTGCAACCGAAGCTGGCTACAAGCCCTACCGTAATCCGCAAAATACTCCGAAAGGACCACAATAATCGGGGGCCTCAAAAGGTAGGATGAAGGTAAGTGGGATATTCCCAAATAAGAGTCCTTATAAAAGGGATCCTTAATCCCACCCACCTTCATCCCACCTTGTGGGGCCTCCGAAATAATTACAGATGCCAAGCGCTCCCTGGAGGTCTTTTCGCAGAATTGTGACTCGAGTACAGTGGGTGGACGCCGTTGCAAGCAAAAGAGCTTCTAGTGGAAGATGCTCACAGGCTTTGTTTCCTGAGAGCTTTGCATGCAATGGACGACGGGCGTACCGAAAACAGGATTTTGCCGAGAACGGGAGACACGGGAAGGGAGAGAGAGAGGGAGGGAAAAAGAGCGAGATGCACGTAGTGTCCCCTAAGAGCAAGAGTGCCTTAAGTGCCCGAGCAGAATTAGCATTCAGGACCAAGGAAGCAATTAATCACTTTGAATGATTCTTCGACCTGAAGGATTCGTGGAGTGGAGCCAGTTTCCACCATTGATATCCGTTCATTCATATTGCCGGAAGAGGATATTGAGGGTCTTGAGGGCACATGGTGTAATTTTCAGTGTTTAAGGGTGTACGGAAGCTGGCGAATTCCGGGACGAGGGTTCATCAAAACTCTGAACCCCAAAGCTAAGCTTTGAAGGCCTAAGGCCCTGAGCTCGAAAGAGTTTGTGCCAGCACATGTGGAAGAAGAGTGAGTTGCTGAGAGGGCCATGGGTGTCAGCCCTCTCCAGACGGTTCTTGCTCATTCTCAGATGGGCTCGTCTTAAAAGTCAGAGACCCTGGCCCGCAACCTTAAACCCTAAATTCGAACCATCAACCACTGCCGTCAAGTGTAAAGTTTAAGCCACAAATCCCCGACAAACCCTAATTGCCCAACTCAGCCCTCAGGCCCAGACCTAGCAAGAGCAGCCCGACAACGCTGAATGCCCCCTACTGTAACTCCCGGAACAACCACAAATCTAGGATCTAGCTTTTACAAAGGTTGACGGCAACAACACCTCCCCACCCCTGAACCATAAGCTCTGACTCCATGTTCCACGCTTACCCTTTATTTTCAGCTTTTCCCACGCATGGGCACAGCACCATGCGCCTGCGTGGGCGTTGCGTTTGGCCAGGTGCCTGTCCGATTTTGAGTGTTTTGCGCTCAGGAGGATTATAAGCTTACAATTTTATACTTGTATTACAGAGAAGGCATAAAAAAAACAGGACTTTAGAATGACGTGGTGGGGTTCAGGCAGATTTGGCTGTTTTCACGGTGCCTTTGCAGGACATGTAAGATCTATAACGACTTGATAAAGGACATAGGTCGGAGGTGGGAACTCCAAAGAACTGTGAACTCGTAATACTCGCAACCCTATAATTGCCAACAGCTCTAACCCTTAGAGCGTCCGCTCTTAAAGCTTTCTATGAGCCCCACGAAAAGAAACAACCTTTGACCATGGAAGGCCTCCTGGCCGCCTTCGCCTTTGCAACTTCTTCAGGCCAAGTACTCTACAGTTCGCAGGTTCAGGGGTGTACAGGGATTTATGGTTTAACATATTGGGTTTTACGTTTAAGGTATGTTGACAGGGTGTAGGAAAGTAGAGGGTTTAGTGGCTTCGGAAGCGCTGGTGTACCCTGCTAGCCTTCTTTGGCTGCCGTCTCAATCTAGAACTGGAATGCCCTGGCCAATGCAGCAGTGTGCTCGTATGGCGTGTACACGACGCGGAATGCGCCGCAGCAGTCCCCGACGTAGCCCTCTGCGAAAGCAGAGATGCACTCCTGGCACCATGCAATCCTACCCCGAACTTGATAGCAGCACCTTCTGTGTGAGTCTAGAGAACTATGCCTGATTCTAAATAACCCGGCAGTTAGGACTCGGAACTTCTTCAGTTAGTCTTTTGCGAAAGGAGCAAGCACTGTTGTTCACAGTTGATGGGAGATTGAATCGTGTTTTTCGTAGTTTGAGGTCTGCGACTTTGTCAAGTCACGCCTTTGACGCCGCCGAAGAGGTCTGCATTCGGGGCTTGGGCTGTAGCAGCCTTTAGGAAGGTTGTTTTCTTCAGGCTCCAAGACCTGCAGCGAGTGAGTCCGGAAAGGACAGAGAGCGCGAGAGAGAGAGAGAGAGAGAGAGGCGGCAAAGAGAGCGAGCGACCCGTGTAAGAAATATGTTGAACGAGAGAAACAGAGAGTGGGCGGCAGACACAGGAATCAGCGTTGCACAGAAGTAGTTGCGCCAAGCACTTGGGCATGCGAATTGGCTCTCGATTTTGACTCATTACTCCTTGTAGCCGCTTTTAAAGTGATGCCTCCGATCCAGGCCCCAGAGTGAGTATTGATGGTTCTACAAGCTCTGAACATTTTCCCAAAGAGTGCTTAATTCCCAAAAGGCTGGTACTTACACCAACCATACCTTAAGCCGGAATAACCTACCTTTTTAAGGACTTATATAAGGAAACCATAATAAGGAACCCTAAAAAGGCAGGTTCTTCCGGCTTAAGGTACCAATAACACCCCTAATCTGGAAACCCTACGTAGGCGCTGAGGATTCCTTGGGTTCACCGTCGCCACCGCTTTGTTGCAGTCCCAAGTTCGGCAGATGCCACGAAAAAGGTTCCCATATGACGGTAATGTAGGAGCCCCAGTAAGCATGGTCCCTTCTGCTGCTCCAGCTCATAGTTGTGGTGTAACCCCGTCAGAGACTTCCTAAGACCAAACCGAAGCAGCTCGTCGTCCCTTGCCCAACCCGCTTAACGACGCAGTCTGCGCTGCGAAATGAAGAGGCTGCTCTAGAGAGACCCGGCTGCCGGAAACGGCGTGCAAGAAGTTCGAAGCCGGGTTCATGCTTAGTTTGTCTTTCGGAGCTGCTGCTATGCTTCACACCCTATACGGTCACAGACGTTTCTGCGAGTATTGTGAACTGATTCTACAACGCTCCGTCCTACCTGCCAGCAGCCCAAGATACTTCGCACGGAACTCTGCTCGACTTGTGGGTTGTGTTCTTTGCTTCGCTGTACTTCAAGTGCGCAGTTCTAGGTTGCAAGAACCGTAGTAGGAAAGGCTCGTGTGAACTGTTGTAAGCTGTGTCGATTTACCGCCGGAGCATTGAAGTAATCGCAAGTCACAGAACGTCGACTTGTACATCAAAAAGGTTCCAAGCCTCCGCCGGAATCCTGAATCTTCCTTAACAAGGAAAGTCTAGAGTCTAGGGTGCCCGCGAAGGGCAAAGAGAGTATCCGTGGATGCTCTTCAGCCATTATCAGTCAAAGACTGCCGCGAGGCCTTTATCTGCATGGATGCTTTGGCTCGGTGACCATCGGCTCCTCGGCTGAAAATCTTGGGACGGCTTTCGAAACAGCCTGGCCCTGAATTTCTGAATGCAACGTTCCGTTGATACTGACCGGAACATGCAAATTGACTGTCAATGCTGGTTTTCGGGTCTTGCGAGGCAGTGTTCACATAGGGCCACCTGTAGGACGGCTCGAGGCAAAGCATCCGTGACAGCCTGCCAGCGGAAGCGCCTAACACAGAGACCTTGAAGGACCGTTGAGGCGAATTCAGCGCGATTTGGCTTTGGGGCAACACTTCTCCCAGAACCCCTCTCGCGATTAGCAGAAGACAGGGCAGAGCTAGGCATTCACCACCCCAATTCGTGCTTCTCCCCGGCTTTCATGTTCTTTCATGCTGAGTCAAACTGCTCTGTAATGGCACATGGGAGTTTCCGAGAATTGGGGGTACCTTATTTTGGGGGTCTTTATTATAAGGATCCCACAATTTAGGGTACTATATTGGGGTCCCCTATTTGGGGAAAATCCCACATGCTGTCGGGAGCAAGCAGGAAGCCGGCAGACGCTGGCAGAGTCTCGAGAAGGCAGACAAGGAGCCGTGGGAAATGAAACTCCACAACAATGCTTGGGGTTTATGGTTTAGGGTAGTCCGTGATGCGTAGTCCAGGTGTGAAAGGGTAGTCCGTGATGCCGTGTCGACCAGGCTGGAAGAAGGTACATTGGAGACAAGGCTTTGCAATGCCACATGGCGAGCAGGTCATATTCTGTGGATTTCTTAGCCATACAGATCCTACAGCAGTGCACCCGTATCTCGTGTCCGATCCGCCTTGGGTATCCCTGGGTCTGATTTGAAGGACATCCAGCATCATTACTACAAGTCAGGTTGTCCCCACTCGGTGCATGTCCGTGGGTCATGGCCGAAGGAGAAGTACGAGAAGCTCGCATCAGATGCGAAAGAGGCTTACTTGCCGCTGTGCTTCAAGGGCGTCAGCCCGGACCGGGTTTAATAGGTTTTTGTATAATGTCCGCGATTAAAGAAGCCACAATTGGTGTTGTTTTCGTTGTAGTGCCCATGCAGGGACTGCTGTCCGGCCCAGTTCAGCTTTAGAATAAGGGCGCTTGATTTGATATGAGTTTGTCTTTCCGGTACTTCGGTGGCACGGTGAGAACGGCAAGTGACTGACTCTCGTGGCCACGGGACTCATTGAAGAAGTGTGGTACGGTCGGACAGTATGTCCTCAGAGCAAAGGCAGGGGCGCCATACAGGACTTGCATGCTCCCTCTCTCCTCCCTGAACCTGTCTCTCCATCTCTCTCTCGCTCTCTCTCTCTCTCTCGCTCTCTCTGTCTTTCTTTCTCTCTCTCTCTCTCTCTCTCTCCCTCGCTCCCTGGCTGTCTCTCTCTGTCTGTCTGTCTATCTGCCTCTCTGTCTCTCTCGCTTTCTCTCTCTCTCTCTCTCACTCTCTCTCTCTCTGTGCTCAGAGGTAGAATGGCTTGTGCTAGCACTTAGTGTGGGTTTTGAGCTTATTGTGTTCGGGTTCTATGTGGGGTTGTCGAGATAAAGAGCTGCTGGTAATTACGGGGCTTTTGTGTCGTATGAGTTGTGAACCACAATTTTGCCAGAACTGCGGCGGACATGTGTCTGCTAGCGGTTCGCGGCATAGATGGTGGCAAGTTGCGACTTCCATCCGCTCCCGCTCCACTTACTGCAAGTCCTCGTTTTGTGCTGTTCTGTCCCCCAACTCCTATCCGAGGAAGGATGTGCAAGATTTCGCCGCGGCTGGGGGCGTCATGCCAGGCGGATTTACAATCTTGCTACGGCTGCACCAGCTATCTCCTGAAAACAGGGCCTCCTGTAATTGGATTGCTTGACGTCTATGTGCTCTGTTTAAGTCCCTTATGTCTCCTCGAGAGTAGGGATATGGAGCGAGACTTTTGAGGGATGATGGACGAAAGGTTTAGGCGAGGGCTCCGTTCTGATTCCAGGAGTTTGGAGAGGGTGATGTGATGGTTAAAGTTTTTTGCAGCAGGCGCCGGCGGTTTAAGCAATCCGGAGACGCGTGGAGCCCACAAAAGGGAGTCTCGACGGGTCATGCAGCATAAGCTGAGCGAGTGTATTGCAAGCGGCAGCAACCCTGACGCTCCGTTCTACTTCTGAAGCTCAGCCCTTCATCCTAAAGCTAAACCGTGAAAGCTCGGTGGATCGGAATCCATGCCAGCCGAGAGCAAGTGTGCGAGTCCAAAACCGGAATACCCTACCTTTGCTGCAGCCCTGAACCCGCTGACAGGCGCCAAACCGAGGAGAGATCCGGCTATCCCAAAGAAACCGCTGACCTCCTACATGCTGCCTGGCCGGATTTTCAACCCTACACTCCGAAACCCTCCTCCCTTCGAGACCCTTTTTTGGCTGCTGGACGTCGCAAGTGGGTTCAGGGTTCGGGCTGAGGGTCAAGGTTTACGTGGGGGTTTCCGAAAAGTAGGGGTGCCTTATTTGGGGGTCCTCAGAATAAGGATCCCACTATTTAGGGTACTATATTAGGGTCCCCTGTTTTGGGAAGCTTCCACATACTGGTGTGGTTATAAGTAGTACAGTAACCTGAACCAAGGGACTGCTAGCACCTTATCACCTTGGAACGCCTTGGGAGTGGGGTTGTTTGGGGTTTACATGGTCTAGCGTGAACGGCTTAGGGTTTTGTGGTTCAGACTGCTTTTGGCAAGGGTGTATATATGTTGTACTCTTGGTGGCTCAGCATAGGAGGCGCAGCGATTGGGCCTTCACCCCTTCCTGGTTCAGGATTTCCGCAACCACTCAGACCGAGTGTATAGGACACGTTCATAAGATGTGTGTTTGTATACATACATACACATACGCATATTATATATACTACATCTTGGTACACAGGCTCTATGTATATATATATATATATATACACATGTTCAGGTGTAAGTTACACAGGCTCTATGTATATATATATATATATATATATATACACATGTTGAGGTGTAAGTAGAGAGAGAGAGAGAGAGAGAGAGAGAGAGACAGAGAGAGAGAGAGAGAGAGAGAGAGAGAGAGAGAGGAGAGAGAGAGAGAGAGAGATGGAGGGAGGGAGGGAGGGAGGGAGGGAGGGAGGGAGAGGGATAGAAAGAGAGAGAGAGAGAGATCGAGATCGATTCCAAGCCTTCCACGCCTTAGGAGCTGTTCTGAAACTACACGTAAGCGACAAGGCTGTAGGCAGGGTTCCTTGGTTTAGAGCCTATGTTGCTTGAAAGTTCCTATACCTGCAGCATCGTTTACACCAGAAGCTGCTCTTGTGGGTCCCTTCGTTCCCATGTGCTACGGATTCTTGTGGCGTGACCTTCGGGTCCATCCGCAGAGAGAAGAGAGGTTTGGCAGATGGCTGTGCTGTTTTCCCGTGTGTTGTTTTCTCGTGGTAACCTCACCCTTTCTGAAAGCCCGAAAGAGCCCTAGTTTGGAACAGTCCTCATTCGGGTGTTGCACTTGGTTGGGCACGAGATATCAACAGGCTCCAGAAGCAGTGCTGTCTCCGAACTTCGGACTCAAGACCTAGAGTCCTGAACCCTCAGCCTGAACATTGGGGTAGTGCTAGAATGGGAAACGCAGTTAGGCCTGGGGCAGTTTGCTGTGATCCATTTCATTCTGACTTCCTCTTCCTGGCTCAGAACTGCAGCAGGCATTCAAGCTCGAACCATCTAAGCCCAACCTTGCACAACAGACTGCAGAAGCGCCTGACATGACTCACTGTTGGCGTCAAGTAGTCCTTCCATCAGGTTTAGGGTCAGGGGTGCAACTAGCGCCCTGGGACCTCATATGATCCCTGTGGCTGTTATAGATGCACGCTTGGCTTTAGGCATTCCAATTTGCCCACATTGATCTTCTACCATCCCGCAACCGGACTTGGCAGCTCAAGAAAGCATATGCTGCGCGGTTTCGGTTCCCCTGTCGATTTGCGAAAACACCTTTGCCTTGCACCCTCATCACGTGCGAGGCACTTGCCCCGAACCCGAAGCCTAGCTTTTCGAGATTTCCGGACAGGCTATTCGTCCGCGATCACAGACAAGAGATCAAGGACTCGCTACCGCTGGACGGCCCAGCTGGCCACCTCTTTGTGGAGGTGGCCGTTGGGTGCAAGTGCTGTTTGAGCGATTGGAGCCCTGCACCCCAAAACAGATTCAAATTTACACGGTCCTACTATGCACCAACATATTTTGGAAGGGGTTCCTCAACAACGGATGTTTTAGGCTGGTTTAGTTTTTGCAGGCAGGGGCAGCGGTTGGTACGTCTGGGTCTGTCCATTTATCTGTCCTTACCCTTCTATCTATTTATCTCTCTGCCTCTCTATCTCTCTACCTCTCTACTTACCTACCCTACCTGGGTAGCTATAGTTAGATAGTTAACTGGCTGGCTAATTACCTATCTATCCATGTGCGTGTGTGCGTGTACGCGGTGTGTGTGTGTGTGTGTGTGTGTGTGTGTTTGTGTGTGTGTGTGTGTTTGTGTGTTTGTGTGTGTGTGTGTGTGTTGGGTATATGTATACATACATACATATATATATATATATGTATGTATATGTATATATACATACATACACATGTACACTTGTATGTACATACATTCGTGCTGTGTTGTCTTCGGAGTTTAGCGTTATTCGTAGCACAGAGGGGCTTGATGCTCAAGGTGGACGGGCTCCAGGAAAGACCCAAGATATGTCATGCAGTTCCAAGAACTGATCGTTCTAAGGTTTAAGAGATTGCATTCTTGAGATTACCATCTATGCCAGTGGAAAGGTAGGGCAAGGTCTTCTTGACCTGGAATTTTGGCTGTGCGGGCTTTTGGGGCTGAGGATTAAATCTTCCGGGCCTCCTCACTGAAACCTTGAAATAGCTTGGTACCACCACATTCCCTTCTTGCGGAGCCGCCTCATACAGGACCCGCACGAGGCTCCACCTTGTTGCCAACTTGCCAGGAGTTCCCTCATAGAGACTTCGTGCTCCGGGAGGTGAAGAGGAAGTGGGAAAAAGTTACCCTCGTGGTGAGGTGCATTGGGAGCATGAGCTCTCCATGAAACGCAAGAGAGGTCACGGGGAAACCCCGAAGAAAGGTGCATGAGAAGTTGACAAACATCATGCTGGCTGTTTGGGGATTCCCATCGACCGCGAGAAACAGATAGCAGATAAACTGAACCCCATCCTGCTTTTTGCACCCCGTGGCTCGTGCATTCTACAAAACTTTCCACAGCACAAACCACTACAATAGAACCAGTCGACACGATCCAGAACCATCCACCCGAGCCTGAACAGGTTTTCGGCTTATTTCGCAACACGACACGAGAACTTTCACAAGTTCCGCGAACTCGACTCGCTTAGAAGCTTTTAAACCCATAGTTCTTAAAGTTTACCTTTGGTTAGTAGGGAATGGAGGAATGGGGTACAATCATAACTACTAACTACTATTACTACCTTTCATCCATTCCCTACTAACCAAAGGTAAGAAAATCCGAAACCTGGCGCCCTGAAGTCCGAAAGGCCGGAAAACGCTGGAGGGCTCTGGATGACAGCGCTCGAGAGCAATACAAGGCGAGGGTTCGGTGTTTAGGGTTTTGGGTTCCAGGCACCTGCTCATCATATGGGTGGTTGTCAAGATGAGGGTCCCTTTTGGGGTACAGTACCCTAAATATTAAGTGCCGTACTATATATATCAGGGACCCAAAAGGGACCAAAATATTGACAAACACCCATATGCTCCCCCCGAATCCAAAGACCTGTTCTTCAGGGGGATTTATCCCCGCCCCTGCAAGCCTAGCCTGCGAATAACCTCCAGCACCCATTTCCAACCCTGGAGTATCAGGCTTTTCATGAGCCCTAATACAAACCCTAAACCCCCATTGCGGCCCATTCCTAATCCTTGAGCATCAGGCTTGTGTATGGCCCCGCAAACCCCTTAAACCCACATGCCCAACCCTGGAGCATGAGGCTTCTAATATGCCAAGCCTTAGACTAGACCCTACAAGCAGACCCTAAATCCACACTCCGAATCCTTGAGCGTTGGACTTCTAACAAGCCCTAAGCCCTAAATCCCCATTCCCAAATGCTGAACATCCCTGAACATCAGACCCCTAAGTCGTCCTGACCCCCCCAAAAGAGGCTCGCGCAGAGCAGCTGAAAGCAGCCTACTTGAAGGAGATGTGCCTCGATCAAGCTGAAAGTTTAGGGTGTAGGGTTTAGAGTTTACGGTTTGGGGTTTAGGGGATGGGCCTCGGTCAAGATGATTGTGGGTCGTAGACTGGCTAGACTTGAGTCCAGTGGCAAAAATGTAGATTTTTTGTGTTAAATTGATCAGGGCTTACGGTTAAATATTCATGTTTATCATGTTTGACGCCCAAGCCTGGTTTGGTTAGGGCTTCTCGGTTTGGGCTACAATTCGCGGCCCCCATCGCTTGGTGGTGGTGTTCATCTATGCGAAATCCCAAATCGCAACATGTACGAACAAGGTTCGAGCGAACTGCCTAGCTCACCCAAACTACGGGGGCGCATTGCGATGGCAGTCCATGGACAAGACTGGACTCTGCACTGCAAGCTTTGCCGGGTGAAGATTGATGGCTTTGCAGGTGCGGGGGTTCTCGTGGTGGTTGAGGGTTTAAGAACCTGTCGCACCAAACTCTGCAGTGGTGAAAGAACCTCAGATCCGTAATCCGATACCCTAACCCTGGAATCCTAAACCCCGCGGGAACAATTTCAGACCTTCAAAACGTCTTCAGGAACCGCGAACCTTGTGAGGTTTGAAACCATACCCGAGCCACGCCCAGGAAGGACTTCCTGGCGAAGGGAGGGGTCATCACCGAAACGCTTCTTGGCTGCATGCACACTGGTTTTAGGGGCTGGGCGGTTTGGATTACAGTCTGGGGAGAAGGGGATATCTTTACTCTGACAAAGACACACCGGCAAACAGAGAAGCATGTAAGAAGCCTGTCAACTGTGCATACGTACCTACACGCTGCTAGCATCATGTGTGGGCGGTTGATGTTTATAGCCTGTCCCCGTAGTCAACAAGAGCACACTCACCCCTCGAGACACGCGGAGCAGCCGCAGATGGGATTTCCTTGGCACCGAGTACAAGAGGGGCTGTTGAGAGATAGTTATCATCTTTGTGCTGTTGTTGCAGTCACTAGGGAACGCGGTTCGTATTTCCCCTTCTATTCTTGGCTCACCCAGTATCCGTCTACAAGGATACGGTGGGCACTCAAGCAGAAACTACCGGAGCTCCTGCAGATGCTCGTTAAACCAGTCGCATGGAAGCCTGCTTCATGCTGCGGTAGTACCGAACTATCTACATACGGCTCCATCTATGTAATTACTTGGACAACGTCGTTGTCAAGCTACGAGGAAGAACTCATAAAGCCCATGCTGCAAAATGTAAGGTTGAACAACTACGTATTAGGTCCTTGCCTCAGGCTTTCCGTAGTATTGGGAGACCCTCTCAACTGTGAACACTTTGAAGACAGTTGGATGCGTGGAGTTTCTCACTGGAAACCAACAAAGTGTTACGGCCGTTGTCACGGCATGGATTTCATGCTTAACATGGTTTGGGCAACATGCTGTTGGTGAAGCTGCCGCGTTGGAAATGATGATCAACCATGACCGCGGGTCATGCAACAGCCGGTTTAATCCTTGAGCCTTTTGTCACAGAAGAACCTACGTCCGATGTTGTGGAAGACAGCGAATGAAATCTCGAACTACGAAGTGTTTCGTACCCGAAGCGAGGTTTCAGCAAGGGCAGACAAGTCTTAGCCGCTTGAACCGGGTTCCACTGGACCCCGCGACACTTCACCATTACCTGACATCTCGTGGAGTTCGATTTGCGGGAGATCCCTGACATCGACAATCGTGAAAGAAGGACCTAGCCTGGGACGGGTGCAATGTTTGGAGCTGAAATCTGAACAGCTACACTTCTGCGTGATGCCTGCAACATTACGAGTGCATCAGCCAAGCAGTCTCGCCCCTGAACTTTCTTGCTCCACTTCTAAGACTGCAAGAAAGCAGTACAGGTAGCTGCGGCTACGCTTGAAACCACATCGCAGCAGCTCCTACTTGCCTTATGGTCGATCCGTAGCAACAACCCTTTTCATTTTGCTTTGGCAGCTCGAAATGAAAATATTAACAAAGTCATGGAGAATTCTGCACCGGATGGGCGAGAGCCCTGAACCCTTCTGACCCTAAAGCCACAAATTGCGACAACGAAGGAAGCGACAGGCCCGGACGAGGGCAAAGAAGGTGACGCCCCTTCGGCTGCAAGGTTCTGCAAGGTAATACCTCACAGGTGCGTGTTCGATGTTCGGGGCCTAGAAACTCTAAACTACTTACCCATGTTATTGACACTCGGTTTGTGTCGCTGTCCTCTCTGCTCTCACTAGTCACGGATGGTCTGAAAGCATCCCGCTGGGCATGTCCCTGATGGCATGGGCATGTTGCCAATGAAATCAGAACTCAGGGCTGGGGCGACATAACAGGAGCATGACTACAACATTGGTACGTCTTGTTTTGCTTGCTGCCTGTATCTTCCTGGGCTTGTGATCCAACTGCTTGAGAATACCTGACATGCTATGGAAGTGCCAGTAGCCAACGTGGATAATCCGGATGCGTGCGCTCGCTCGAGCGAGTCGCAACCATGGTCTATGTTTCAAGTTTCATCTTCTGACCCTGGACCCCGCAAGCCCTAAACCCTCAACTCACACATGCAAGGTTTCATAAACGGGGCTTCATGGTGGAAGCCCCGAAGTGCCCTCCCATCGAACCATATCGAGCCCTTAAGTTAGGAATGGTGGTCCGTATAATTTTGGGCTGTTGTAGAGGCTGGTTGGGGCACTGCTTGTAATTGACCTGAAAGCACCACGTCTGCATACGCAAACATGAACCGGTCACTTCGGCTTTCATCACTTGGTATTTGATGAAGCAGTCTACACACGATATTGAGGAATGGTCGGCCCTTCAATCTTGCCAAGAAACTGGTTAAAACTCTCTGAGGGGAAAGGATCCGCTGGAGCCGAAGAAGCCACAGACGGCTTGGAAGCCACTCGGCTGATCCAAGTCTAGGTTCTCCTTTTCGAAAATTTCATAAACCCGCCTAGTTTGTGTTTGTGCTGCTTTCTACTCCTGGTCGACGCACTCGGTCTTCTTCTCGAAAGAGAAGGCTCTAGTGCGGGACAGCCATAAAAGGAGCATGACAGGGGTTGCTGGGGCTTTTGCAGGTTATGGTCTACCATCTACGGGGTTTCTGTGGCCCTAAACCCTAAACCCTAAAGAGCATCCGCAGTGCCCAGGAGTTCACGCCTTCTCCGTCCTTCCCCGAAGCTTTGGGGCGGCTACAGGGGTCTGAAGTGTGATCAGAAAAAACGGCCCAACCATGTCTATACAGTTCCTCAAAACATACACGAAAACCCTATTCCACATATGAAGGCTCTTGCTTGGGGTTTGAGGGGCCTTGCTTTCACCATCGGCTTGTTCAGGCTTTGGCTGCGCGAGAACCGGGAGCAGATCCTTGAGAAGCTGCGTTATGCGAAGCTCTGTGCATCCCATTTTGCTTGATAGGTAACCCTCCGCCAACAAAGCCAGAAGCTTCCTAGAGCCGCACTGTGTGGGTGTGTGTAGCGGCGACGCCAGAAACTGACAGAGGCACATTTTTGCCGCCTCAGGCGACTGAAGGCCGTAATTGATCTTATCAGCCCCAGAATCCCAGAACAACAACACCTTCAGCCAGAGCATAAGACCTTCTGAGAGTTTTTGATGCGTGCGAAAGTTTCGCATCATCAAATCGGACATGGCACGGCAGATGCTTCTTGATCTGTGGTTTCCGGGGGATTTGCTGTCAGTTATCGCTACCATTGTCGCTTGTGATTAGAATATTAGCTAACATTCTCTTTCTGCTTTAAGCCTTCGAGAATGGCTTCAGCTCTGCCTGCAACGGACGAGAACGGGCGTTCCGAAAACTGGATTGTGCCCGGAACGGAAGACACAGGGGAGGGAGGGAGGGAGGGAGGGCGAGGGAGATAAAAGAGAGAGAGAGAGAGAGATAGAGAGCGAGAGAGAGCGAGAGCGAGACACATGTACAGACATAGGAACCATCAACACGACGGAGAGCGAGATGCATGTAGTGGCCCCTGAGGGCAAGACTGCCTTAAGTGCCAGAGAAGGCTTAGCGTTCAGGACCACGAGGTAACTACATGGAATGACTCTTCGACCTAAAGGATTCGGGGAGGAAAGTGTTCTGTTGCTCAGTTGCCACCTTTCATTCATTGCCATTGGTGAGGAGTTTTGATGGTGCTTGAGAACTCCGGGGACGAAGGTTCATCAAAACCCTGAACCCAAAATCTAAGCCTTGAAGGCCTAAGGCCGTGAGCTCGAAAAGAGTTTGTTTCACGACATGTTGAAAAGGCGTATGTCGTGGAGAGTACCACGGGTGTCAGCCCTCTCCAAGCGGTTCTTGCTCATTCTCAGAAATGGGCTCGTCGTAAACAGTCACCTTGGGCCACAACCTTCAACCCTGGGTTCGAGCCATCAACCACGCAGCCCTGAAGTCTTACAGTAAGCTTAAGCCGAAGTAGCCGACAAACCCCAATTGCCCAACTCAACACCCAGGCATAGACCTTGCAAGCTAAGTCCGACGATGCTCAATTGCCCCAACCCTTTCCTGTTTCCGAGCTGTTGCCTCACACGGGCGCAGCGCCATGCGCCTGCGTGGGCACCGCGTTTGGCCAGGCGCCTGTCCGATTTTGAGGGACGCTCGCTAGCGAGTGTTAAGCTTACTCGCATTACATACAAGGCATAGAAAAGGCACAGCGGATATCAACGGATCATCTGGGGGTTAGGGTTCTTGGTAATATGAGATATGAGCAGTGCGAGTTCACAGTTCTTTGGGGCTTCAACCTCCGACTTAAGTCCTTTATCAAGTCTTCATACGTCTTACATGCCCCACAAAGCCACCAAAAAAAGCCAAGTCTCCCTGAACACCACCACGTCATTCTAAAGTCCTGCTTCTTTAAGCCTTCTATAAGCCCCGCGAAAAGACAGAATGACCATGGAAGGCCTCCTGGCCGCCTTCGCCTTCGCAACTTCTCCAGGCCACTTCAACCGCCCATGCCAAGTACTCTACGGGGCGCAGGTTTAGGGGTTCACAGGGTTTTACGGTTTAAGCTATGTTACAGGATTTAGGAAAGCTGAGGGGTTTAGTGATTTAGTGGCTTCGGAGCCATCTCTCGATTTCGGAAGCCTTCTATGGCTGCCGTCCCGACCTAGAACTGGTATCCCCTGCCCATTGTGCGATTGCACTGCTTGCGCAGCACTGTGATTGTATGGCATGTACACGACGGGGAATGTTGCGTAGCAGCCCCCGACGTAGCACCGCTGCGACTGCAGAGAAAGCCTTGGCACAATGAAATCGAACCCCGGACTTGATAGCAGCACGAACTATGCCTGATTCTACGAGCCGGAGATTTAGGACTCGGAACTTCTTCAGTTGGTCTTTTACGCAAGAAGCAAGCACTGTTGTTCACAGTTGATGGGGCTTTGACTCGAGATTTTCGTGGTTGCAGGTCTGCGACTTTGTCAAGTCACACCTTTGACGCCGCCGAAGAGGTCTGCATTCGGGGCTTGGGCTGCAGCAGCCTTTGGGAAGTTCAGAGTCTTCAGGCTCCAGGACCTGCAGCGAGTGAGTCCGCAAAGGAGAGAGAGAGAGAGAGAGAGAGAGAGAGAGAGAGAGAGAGAGTGCGAGAGAAAGTCGGCAAAGAGAGCGAGCGACCCGTGTGGGAGTGGGAGGGAGCACGCGGGAATCAGTGTTGCACAGAAGTAGTTGCACGAAGTAATTGGGCATCTGGATTGGCCTTCAACAAGCCATTGCAATATCACCCTGATCTGGAAACCCTACTACTCTTTTGCAGTCCGAATTTCGGGAGATTCCGCGAAAAAGGTATCCCAAATGGCGGCAATGTAGGAGCCTCCAAGGTTAGCAGTAACCATGGTCCCTTTTGCTGCTCCAGCTAATAATTGTCGTGTATCCCCGTCAGAGACTGCCTAACACGAAGCCGAAGCAGATGTGACAGCTCGTCGTGTGTTGCAAACGTGAGATACAGCACGCTGACCTTTACAAGTTACAAGTTTAACGATGCAGTGTGCGCTGCTAGATGAAACGGCTGCTCTACACAGACCCGAATACTGGAAACGGCGTGCAAGATGTTCGAAGCCGATTTCAGGCTTAGTTCGTGTTTCGGAGAAGCTGCTATGATTCACATGCCCGTATACTGGTACAGATGCTTCTACGAGTATTGTGAACTGATTCTAGAACGCTCCCTCCTACCTACCAGCAGCCCAAGATACTGCGCGCGGAACTCTGCTCGACTTGTGCATTTGTTTCGTCACAGACTTTCAACACAGGGTTCGGAAGCTGGGTCTCAGATGTTCTTTGCTTCGATGTGCTTCATGTGCGTAGGTTGCAGGAACCTAGGAAAGGCTCGTGTGAACTGCCGTAAGCTGGGTCGATCCGGAGCGTCGAAGTAATCGCAAGTTATGGAACGTCGACAGTCTTGTACATCAAAACGGTTCTAAGCCTCTTCCGAAAGCCCGAAATCATCCTTAACGAAAGCCTAGAGTGCCAGCTAAGGGCAAAGAAATATACTCTTTTGCCTTTTGCCCACATCAGTCGAAGACTGCGCAAGGCCCTTAACGTCATGGATGTTTTGGCTCAGTGACCATCGGCTCCTCGGTTGAAATCTTCGGGAGACTTTTGAAGTCTCAGCATGCAGTTTGACTGCCAATGCTGGCCATCAGGTTTTGCCAGGTAGTGTTTAGATAGGGAGATAGGGCCGGCTGTAAGACCGCTCGAGGCAAAGCATCCGCGACAGCCTGCCAGCGGGGGCGCCTATCACAGAGATCACCAAGGACCGTTGAGACGAGTTCAGCACGATTTGGCTTTGGCGCAGGTAGCAGACCCTGTCCGCCACTAGCAGAATACAGGGCAGATCTGAGGCTCGCATGCAACTGCCCCAACCCGATAATGCGTGCTTCCCCCATGCTTGCACGATCATGGTGAGTCATATTTCGTCTTGGATTCAAATTCCGTTGAGAGCAAGCAGGAAGCTGGCAGACGATGGCAGAGTCTCGAGAAGGCAGACAAGGAACCGTGGGACATGAAACTCCTGCCAGGGTTTAGGGTAGCCTGTGATGCCGTGTCGACCATGCTGGAAGAAGGCGAAATGGAGACGAGGCTTTGCAATGCTGCATGCCGAGCAGGTCATATTGTGGGGGCATCTTAGCCATACAAAGCTACAGCAGTGCACCCGTATCAAGTGTCCGATCCGCCTTAGGTATCCTTGGGTCTGATTTGAAGGACATCCAGCCTCATTACTACAAGTCAGGTTGTCCCCACTCGGTGCATGTCCGTGGGTTGTGGCCGAAGGAGAAGTACGACAAGCTCGCATCAGATGCGAAAGAGGCTTACTTGCCGCTGTGCTTCAAGGGCCTCAGCCCGGACCAGGTTTACTCGTTTTTCATCCTCTGCGGTTTCATGACCATACAATTGGTGTTGTTTTGCTGCAGTCCTTGCAGAGACTGTTAACCGGCCAAAAGCCCATGTGATATGAGTTTGGCTGTACCGTACTTTGGTACCACGATGAGAACGGCAAGTGACTGAAAGTGGGTGCCATCGGACAGCAGCCCCTAGAGCAAAGGCAGAAGGGCCCTGCAGGAAGCATGCTCTCTCCTTCCCTCCCTCCCCCTCCCTCTCTCTCCCTCCCTCTCCGTCCCTCTCCCTCTCCCTCCCTCTCCCTCCCTCTCCCTGCCCCTCCCTCTACCTCCCCTCCCTCCCTCCCTCCCTCCCTCTGTCCTCTCCATCTCTCTCTTGTCTCTCTCTCTCTCTCTCTCTGTCTCTCTGTCTCTGTGCTCAGAGGTGGAATGGCTTGCGGCTAGCACTTAGTGCGAGGTTTGAGTTTGTTGTATTCGCGGTCTCAGGTTCTACGTTGGGTTGTCGGGATGAAGAGCTGCTAGTTATGCTGCTCCTGTGTCGTATGGACCACCAATGTCACAGAACCACAGCAAACATGTATCTGCTAGCGGCTGCTAGCGGTTGGCGGCGGCTTAGATGCTTGCCAAGTGCGCCGCACAAGCACGTTCATGATCCAACTACCGCTTTGTGTTTTGTCTGTCCCCCAGCCCGGGTACCTGGCTGAGGAAGGATAAGCAAGATTTCATCGCGGCTGGGGGCGTCATGCCAGGCGGATTTACGATCTTGCTACGGCTGCACTAGCTATCTCCCGGAAACAGGGCCTCCTGTAAGCGAAGTCAAGTAGGCACATTGGATTGCTTCACGCATATGTGTTTTGTTAGAGTCTACTATGTCTCCTCGAGAGCAGGAACATGGAGGGAGACTTTTGAGGGATGATGGACGAGAGGTTTGGGCGAGGGCTCCGCTCCGATTCCAGGTGTTTGGAGATGTGATGTGAAGGTTAAAGGCCTTTTTGCAGTTAAGCAGTCGGGAGCGGCGTGGAGCCTAGACCAGGGGTCAGAGTGTTGGGTCAAGCTGAACGAATTTATTGCAACCTGCAACCCTGACGCTCCGTTCTACTTCGGAAGCTCAGCCCTTAATCTTAAGCCCTAAACCCTAATCGTGGATTGCCCGAGTTGTAAGAGTGTGAACCCATATCCTAATCCAAAACTCTGAACGAATGATAGACGAAATCCTAAACCCTAAACCCTAATTCCAAAGGTGTGCCTCGCGGTCCCACTGCTCCTGAGTTGCTTTAAGGATGGAACCGGGTGCACCACCAGGGCTGGAGGGCTCGGAGCCAGGTTGGGCTGGATGTGAGTGTGTCGCGTGAGCTCTTTCGAATGCAGTCGGAGCTGATCAGTGCGGGTGGGGCGGAGAGCATGGCGAAACTTCAAAGCAAGTGGGAAGAGTGTCTGGATCGGGTCGAGGCCAACGTCGCTGCACAAGATCAGGCTGTTCGACAGCTGTCGATGCGATGCTGCATACTTGAGGATAAGTTGCAGCAATGGTTTTATGATCGGTATGGGTTGGAAGTTGCATCGGAAACTAAGCTGGACTTGATGCAGACAAAGAGGAAGAAAAAGCGTGGAAGGCGCAACAGGGCAGCCGTGGGCAAAGATGCCGAATGTGATAAACACATGTTAGTGGGCGCGGTTGACGATGTGTGTGAAACACCCGTGGACGGGGATGTGGCCATAGACCAGATGTTGGTTGGCTGTACTAGTGTTGTGCTGGAACTTGGTGAGCAGGATCGGAAGCCATGCTGATAAGCCTGACGACCTGGATGGCACGGGTACCGGTGGAAAGACAGAACGTGGTATACTAATCACGAGGATGAACAAGAAATGGACGACATTTGCATGGGGCAAAAATCCCTGGTGATATTATCGCTGGCGCAGCGATCTCAACAGCAGGGTGCCGAAAGGATGCAACGACAGGCACTGGTATGGCGACTGGCATGGAAGCATTAGTGGTCAGGTAGGCCGAGGAACTCAATGGAAAGGGTAAGGATTTGGGCAAACTGCAAATGCAACCCTTGTAATCTGAACGAGCGAGGGCTGACTTTGCGTATCATATTTGAAGGCTGCCATGGTCGTGAGTCTGTGGTTTGAGCCGTTGATGTGCCATGCGACTTGAGAGGATGGTTCTTAAAGAAGCGTGGCTTTCCCACGCAAGTTTGCACCTGGTGCACCTGAAGTTAATGTGAGTCATTTAGCATGGGTGACCATCTTACCGATGCTTTAAGCATGTTGGCAGGACAGCCGGCTGAGGACAACTCGGCCGACTGGCCTTTGCATGGCCCTATCTGTGATGGTAGGGGTTCAGCCGTTTTGGTAGCTTTTGCTCAAAAGAATTGGAGTTGTGAAAGCGGGCTGAGTTGGCTTGCGTTGAAATGGGCTTGTATAGGCCGAACCTTCGTGCGGGCGCAAAAGAGCTGTCAAAAAATCAGTTCCAAACTTGCGTAAACAGAACCTGTACCCCACCGGCCGCAGCCCTAGGCTTGGGTGTCCCCCTGACAGGCGCCAAGCCGAGGAGAGATCCGGCCATCCCAAAGAGGCCGCTGACCTCCTTCATGCTGCTTGGCCGGACTTTTAAACCCTAAACTCCTAAATCCTCCTCCCTCCTAGATCATGTTTTGCTACTGGACTCACGTTTAGCTGGACTACGACTTGCAATCATCTGGACCAAAGCCTTTCTTGACCCTAAACGTTATGTAAACCCGTCGCAGGTGGGTTCAGGGTTTTGGCTGAAGGTCACGGTTTACATATTGGTGTGGTTATAAGCATATAACATTAACATGAACTAAGGGACTTCTAGAACCTTGCAGATTATCACTTTGGAAAGCCTTGGGTATGGGGTTTTGTGGGATTTTGGGCTTTACATGCTTTATCGTGAACGGGCTTAAGATTTTAAGGTTCGAAACTGTTGTAGGTTATGGTGTATGCGTTGTACTCTTGGTGGCTCCGCAGAGGAGGCGCTTGGGCCTTCACCCTTTCTTGGTTCAGGATTTCCGCAACCAGTCAGACCGAGGCTCTAGGACACGTTCATAAGATGTGTACATCACGCTTCACGCTTTTCGGGCGAAGAGTCATGTCGATGCGGTCGGTCCCTTTGGGATGCACCTAATATACACACGAGGAGGTGGCACAGAAATTTGTAGACAGTCTGCGCTCACAAGACAGGGGTGGGATATAACCAGCAGTCGGAAAAGCTGTCCCACCCCCGCAACAAAATCAATCAACATGAGGGCGCATGGACACTGCATGGATATGCTCGAAAGACAAGGGATGCTTTGTATTCCGTCGCCGGCTATCAAAGCACAGACAAACTACAATCCATTTTTTTCGCATCTGGGAGGTGCAGGATCATCCTCGCGGGTTTCGGATGAGGCCATCCCTACACAGTTAACATACCCAGGATGTCAGAGGTGATATCGCGGACATCAAAGCAACTACGATAAAATCAGCAACAGTGCTGACCTAACAGCAGCATGAAGGCCCTAGGGCCTCCACACTCAATCACAAGTCGCGCTTGCATTAGTCACATGTTCAGGAACTGCTAAAGTCAGGATACTGGAGTCCGGCGATCCTCACTGCATGACCATAGCCGGCAGGGCGCCACAATCTTCCGCGCTCTGCGGCCATTTGGGCCCTGTGTGCGTATATACATACATACACAAATCAACAGGTTTTTGTATATTATACATACGTATACAGAGACTATATATACGCACACATAGAGAGAGAGAGAGAGAGAGAGAGACAGGGAGCCAGAGAGACAGAGAGAGTGAGAGTGAGATTGAGACTCAGAGTGAGAGTGAGAGACAGAGAGAAGGACGGAGAGAGAGAAAGAGAGAGATATCGAGATCGATTACAAGCTTTAGGAGTTGTTCTTTAAACGACAATGCTGCATGTAGGGTTCCTGGAGTTTAGAGTCGATGTTGCATGAAAATTTCCATATCTGTAGCTTTGAATACACCAGAATGCCATTTTTGTGGGTTCCTTCGTTCTCATGTGATACAGTTTCTTGTGGCATGACCTTCGGGTCCATCCGCAGAGAAAAGAAAAGTTTGGCAGATGGCTGTGCTGTCTTCCCGTGCCTCGTTGTCTTTGCGTGCCTTATAAATTGGAACAGTCATCAATGCGGGCGTTGCGTTTGTTTAGGCATGAGATACGTATCGACAGACCCCATTGCTGTCTCCGAACTTTGGGCTAAAGACGTAAAGCCCTCCCTCAGCCTGAACATTGCTTCTACCATCCCTCAAGCGGACTTGACGGTGCAAAACAACGATTACGCTAAAATGCTGTGCCGTTTCGGGCCCCGTGGGGATTTGCAAAAACACCTTGCCTCACATCCTCGTCATATTCGAGGCACCTGCTCAAGGCCCGAAGCCTGCCTAGCTTTTCGAGACCTCCAGACAGGCTTTTCGTCAGCGATCACAGACAAGAGATCAAAGACTCGCTGCCGCTGGACAGCCCAAACTCCCACTTCCTTGTGGAGGTGGCCACGGAATGCAAGTACTGCTTGAAAGCGATTGGTGCGGGATCTCCACCCCGAAAAAATTGAAAGTTTTGCCTTCCCTTCTAGGAACCAGCATCTTTTTGGGGGTTCCTCAACAATGGACGTTCGTTGTTTGGATGGTTTCATTTTTTTGGAGGCCGATCATGGAATCATTAGTTGATTCAGTTGTGTATCGCATGAGGCTTGTGAGCACGGGGCAAAGGGAGCCTGAGTCATCGGGGCATTCAGCTGATAAAAAAACTGAGCATAGGCAACTGTTGCTATGTTTGAGGTCAATCTATCTGTCTATCTACTTATCTACCTATCTATCTATCTATCTGCCTGTCTATCTATTTACCTGTCCATCTATCATCTACCCATCTGCCGATCTACCTGTCTAACTATCTATCTATGTATTTCTTTGTCTATCTATCTAGCTGGCTAGCTAGCTACTGAGCTATCTATATATTTGTAGGGAGTTATATCGAAGAGATTGGGCCGCTCTTTGCGGGAGGCGTGAATCTTCAGGCCTCCTCACCGAAAACTTGAAATAGCTTGGTGTTACCACGTCTTCTTCTTACGGAACCGCCCCAAGCACGACAAGCAAGCTGCCGCAAGAAACAGAAAGAAGATAAACTGAACCCAACGTTCTCCCCTTTACACCCCGGGGCAATCTTCGACCAATATCCTAAACCACTTTATTGGGCCCCCAAATCTGCCACCGCACAAACCACTACTCAACAAGATCTAAAACCACCCACCCTCACAGCACCCGACAGGAGAACTTTCAGAAGTTTCGCGAACTCGACTCGTCAAGTTACAAAACCCTGCAGTAGAACTTCTCTAGCATGCCGTCCCAGATCCTCAGAAGCTTTTACCCCAAAGTTTTTAAACTCCGAAACCTGGCGCTCAAAATTCCGAAGGCCGGAAAACACTGGCGGGCTCTGGATGACAGCGAGCGAGAGCCATACAAGGCGAGGGTTTAGGGTTCGGGGATGAGGCAGTCAACTTGCAGGCACTTCAGAGAGACCTCGTTCAAAAAAGGGATCCAAACACCTGCTCATCATATGCTCCCCCAGAGGGTAACCGGCATTTCTATTGCAATCAGCCCCGATTTGCAGAAACTGATGCCGTGTGACTTCGTGGATTTATTCCAACCCTAGGCTGCGAATAACCCTAAACCCGCATTCCTACCCATTGAGGATTTCGATGCATTTCGCTTATAGTAAGCCCAAATGCCCTTCCTCATTTTTGAGCTGAGGATTTTCATATGCCCTAAACCCCAAACCCCATTGCCGACCCTGGAGCATCAGGCTTCGAATAAGCCAAGCTCTAGACATCTCTAGACCGTAAAGCCTAGACAACGTAGACCCTAAACCCGGAGTCCCAGTCCTTGAGCATTAGGCGTCCAACAAGACCTAAACCCTGAACCCAGATTTCCCAAATCTTGAGCGTCCCTGAACATTAGACCCCTAAGTCACCCTGAAACTCCAACGAGGCTCGCGCAGAGGAGCTCAAAGCAGCCTACTTGAAGGAGATGCGCCTCGGGCAAGCTGAAAATTTAGGGGGTATAGGGTCTAAAGATTCATGTTTTTCATGTTTGATTCCCAAACATGGTTTGGGGTTCTGGGTTTGGGCTAAAATTGGCTAAAAATCCGAAACCCCCATCGCTTTGTAGTGGTGTTGATCTATGTGAGAATCCCAAACCGCAAGAAGTGTTCGAGCGAACTGCCTAGCTCACACAGACTCCGTAGGCACTTTGCGATGGTAGTGCATGGACAAGACTGGACTCTGCAAGCCTTGCAGGGTGAAGGTTGACGGCTTCGCAGGTTCAGGGTTTTCGTGGTGTTGGACCTGTAGCTCCAAACTCTACCGTGATGAAAGAACCTCAAATCCGTAATCCGATAGGCTGTTTAATGAATCCAAGTTTACTGCTGAACCCTAAACCCCGAAGGGACCAAAGGATGTATGACCCCGAGGCTGTTCGGCCTACACTTAAGAGCCGGCGGCCCTTAATCTCACACCTTAGTCGATCAAGAATCCAAAACGTCTTCAGGAACCGTGAACCTTGTGAGGTTTGAAACCATACCCGAGCCACCCCAGGGAAGACTTCCTGGCATCGGGTGGGGTCATCCCCAAAAAGCTTCCTGGCTGCCTGCAGTGTGCTTCAGATTTTAGGGGCTGGGGGGTTTGGAATCGAGTCCGGGTTCAGGGATGCTTTCCTTTGACAGGGACACACCGGGAAACAGAGAAGCATGTTTAACAGTACATATGTAGATACTCCTAGCGTAATGTATGGGCGGTTGATGTATCTCTCCGTAGTCAACGGGAGCACGCCCATCGACACATCTAGAGGAAGTGCAGATTTGATTTCCTCGGCACCGAATGCAAGAAGGGCTGTTGAACAATATAGTTATCATCGAGGTGCTGTTATTCCGGTCACTAAGCAAGGCGATTCGCAGTTCCCGGTAAACCAGGAGCTTAGAAACCTGCTTCATGCTGCAGTGGCAACCGAACTTTCTACATACCGTACAATACCAACTTCAAAGATAGACCATATACCTGAAGCTACGTGTAAACATTCGTAAAGCCCACGGTGCAACCTGTAAGGTTGAACAACTATTTAGAAAGTCCTTGCTTCAGGGTTTCCGAAGAACTGGGAGACCCTGTCAAACTTTGAAGACACTTGAATGCTAGGGGCTTGTCATTGGAAACGAACCGAACTTATTGCTGCACAATTTGAATCGGGTTTAACCAGACTCACGACACCGCACCATTGCCTGACATCCCGCGGAGTTCGACTTAAGGGAGATTTCTGGCATTTGACAATGTCCGGGTGCAATGTTTTGGGGTGAAATCTGAACAGCTACACTTCTGCGCGATGCCTGCAACTGTACGAGCGCATCAGTCTCGCCTAAACCGTCTTGCTCCCCCTCTAAGACTGCAAGAAAGCAGTAGCCGCGCAGCTCCTACCTGCCTCATGGTCAATCCGTAGCAACAATGCATGGTATTTAGCTTTGGCAGCCCGAAATTAAGACATGAACAAAGTTATGGAGAATTCTGCACCGGAAGGCCTTGAGCCCTGGACCCTTGACCCTAAACCCACGACATTTTTCCACAACGAAGGGAGCGACGGGCTCGGACGGGGACGAAGCTAAGGAAGAAGGTAAGGCTCCTTCGGCTGCAAGGTAAGGCCTCACAAGTACATATTCGATGTTCGGGGTTTGTAGGGTCTAAACAGCAAAACTAAACTCCTAGAGCCAAAAATCCTGAACCCTAAATCCTAGACCCTTCAGCTCTTACGCCAGAAATCGGAAGCGACTTACCCATGTTATTGACAGGCGGTTTGCGTCGCCGTCCCCTCCTCTCTCACTGGTCACGGGTGGTCTGAAAGTGGTTTCTGTATTTAATGACATCGGGTCTTGGGGCTGGGGTGACATAACATAACTAAAACTACAAGGTTGGCATGTCGCTCGTTTTCATTGCTACCTCTATCTTCCTTGGCTGTGATGGTTTATTGTTGTTGTGATCGAGCTGCTTGAGAATGCTAGACCTTAGACATGCTATGGAAGTGACAGTAGCAAACGTGGAGCCCACCTGATGCGTGCCTGCACGAGCGAGTGTGCGAGTCGCAACCTTTGGTTCGATGTTTCCGATCTTTTGGCCCTAAACCCAAAACCCCCTACCCTATAGCCTAAACTCACGCATGCAAGATTTCATATTGAGGGCTTCCGGGTGGAAGCCCTCCTCGTGGTCCGTAATTGTGGGTATTTAGGCTGTAGTGGGGACTAGTTGGGGGGCCTGGGAGGGTTCTGTGGTTCAGGTACTACTGTCCCTTGGGATCCCGAACCAGCGTGCGCAGACATGAACCGGTCACTTCGGCTTTCATGAACCCTTATGTGCAGACCCTGCGACCAGGACACTGAAAACCCTGCGACCTGTAGGTCATGACCCCCTCTACACTACACACACGAGATTGAGGAATGGTGCGCACTTGAATCTTGCCCCAAGCCCCTCTAAACTCTCTGCCCCAAGCCCCCACCCGTAAGTGAATCCCCCCCCCCCCCCCACCCCCCCCCCCCCCCCCCCCCCCCCCCCCCCCCCCCCCCCCGAAAAAAGAAATTACATCTGAGGAGAAAGGATCCCCTGGAGCCGAAGAAGCCACAGACGGCTTGGATGCCACACGTCTGATCCAAGTCTAGGTTCTCATTCTCGAAAACTTCATAAAAAAAACACCGCGTAACTCGGTTTGTTAGTTTTAGAACTTCTTTGTTCAACTGCTGGTCGACGCGCTGGGTCTTCTTCTTGAAAGAGAAGGCTCTAGTGCCGGAAAGCCTCAAGCATGACAGGGGTCGCTAGGGTCCACTCTGCATCTACGGGGTTTACGTGCCCCCAAACCAGGAGTTCAAGCCTTCTCTGTACTTCCCCGAAGCTTCAGGGTTGCTACAGGGGTGTGAAGTGTGCTCAGCAACAAAACAAGACTAATCTTATCTATACAGATCTTCAGAGCATGCGCGAAAACTCTATTCCACTCATGAAGTCTGTTTCTTTCCCTAAGGCTTACAATAGCACAAAAGCCTTACATAGTGTGGTCTTTGGGCCCAAAGGCCCTTAAATTATGAGTCCTTAGAGCTTACAAGGGTTAGGTTTTGAAGAGCCGTGCTTTCAAAATTGGTTTGTTCAGGTTTTGGCTGCACGAGAACCGGGAGCAGATTGCCGCCGAGCTCCCTGCCGATCAGCGCAGCATGACAGACGTCACCCAGGAGCACGATTTCTGGTCTTGGGACCTTTAGGGTTTAGGGCTAGTGGTCTTGAGATATGATATGTGTATATATATATATATATATATACAAGTAGAAAGAAGGTTCAGGTTTTGGTTTTAGGCTGCTTTGAAGGCTGACATTCGACTTCTCCGGTTTGGTATTTCAAGGTTTCGGATGAGGGTGTGCCAGTGTATCAATCTTTTCGGCTTCCAGTGCTTACTCTTCAGGCTGGAAAGGTGTTAGGCTCTCGCAATAGCAGCAGTGAAATAAGTGCCACAACAAATTAGTAGTAGACATACATCCGAGTCCCTGAAACTCAATGCGTCGAGAGGAGGCAGGCCGGCGCTGGAAGGTCCTTGGCACAAAGGAGAAGGTACCCTTCTTGAAGCAACCCGGCCGCAGTGGGCGTCGCTCTCGTTTCTGACGAACTTGAGTCGCTGTTCTGGGGATTTCCATTGGATCCACACTGCGATTGTGTGAAGATCTCTATGCTCTATGTATGCTTGAACCAGAGAAGGAATGAGGCTCCGTAGGCACTTTTTCGGTTCGGATGTTTGGGATTCAAATGGTTTTGACCTCAGGGCTGATGTCAAGTGGTGCCTCTTTGTGTAGGACGAGGGGATCATCTCAGGTCGTGATGCGTTTTGAAGCTTGTGGGGTTGTCTGTTGGTGGGGGTATTCAAAGGTCTCCAAAGGCGGGTCAGCTTAGGGGTACCTTCTTTAAGGGTCCTCACAACAGGGATCCTACTATACGAGATATGTACCATATTAGCATCCCCTAGTTTCGAAACTCCCAAATCGAGATTGAGCACTTTCGGAGCTGCTCTGTAGTGGATGGCTTTCGATCCAGGTTGGAAGTTTGATAACTATGGTGGGTTGTGCCTGGTGCAGTGGGATGGTCGTTATTGCGGCTTACCCCCTGCTCCAAATTGGAACGACCTTGGGGTCGCGACATAGGTTCATCGGATAAACGGTTGATGTACTACAGAGCATTTCTTTATTTGCACATGGTTTCTGTTGTCTCGCAATAGTGATAGCAGGTGTGAAGACAACCCACACCGAGTGAAGTGAACTTATGTTCCACCTCTTGAAGAATATCCTGCATCTAGCGCGCTTGGTGAGATTTCGCGAGCTGGTGTGGTCCACGGCTCCTAACATAGGGATCTGACCAATAGTCTACCAAGACCGTCTTCCAAATCAGGCCCCTGTCCCGCAAGGCCAACTTCCCCAAAGGTCCAAGTACCATTATAGTATATAGGTATTTGGGCCCCTAAAGTATATACTATATCATCACTTGGACCCTTTGGGTTCTCTGCAGCAACACTCACTGCTCAGTGAAACCTGCAACGCTCAGACACTGTACTCCAGACCGTAAGCCGGTGTGCATGAGCCCCTTCATGCACCCCTTCCCGAACCCCGAAACTTCACCCTGGATTTTCCGGGTCTGAGCGCCGAAGCTTTACCGTCAAAGCCTAACTTCAGAGGAAGGCAGATGCCGAGAAGGCAAAGTACCTCAAGGACGGCCGTCGAGAAGCCTTCTGTTCTGTAAGGGTTGTATTTTCTACACAAGGCTCAACTTGCTTTGCTTTTGCATGGTTTTAGTGTTTCGGGTGCCCGAGGTCTGTGCTTGCTTTTGTCGGTGTACTCCAGGGCTTTTACTACAGGGGCTTGGTTGCACCGAAGGTTTGTATGAGTATGACTCTGAGGCTTACATGGGGATTGAATCGGGGTATGTCAGTCCCCCGGGCTTCTTGAGCTGGGCACACACTACACTCAGACTGAAATGCCAATCTGTCTGGAAGCTCGACTGTACGGGTTCCAGGGTTATATAGATGTACAGGTCCGTAGTTAAGGCTGTAGGGTTGGAGGGTTACATGGGCCTCAGACACACCTGTCTTGGAGGAGATGCGGGAGTATGAGGCCTTCCTTGCAGGCTCCTGAATAACCAGGCGGGGGGTCCTAAACCCCAAAGCCTTCATCTGTAATATCCCCGGAGGTGGTTGGGCCTCCATGAACCCTGAGCCTCAAGCCTGTTCAGGCGCCCTACTCCAGGTCGACAAGGAGCTCGATAATTCGCAAGCCAGCGGTTAATTTGCCGAATGCATTGCATGTCCCGGGGAATCGAGTTAAACAGTCCAACGTTCCTTTCCATAATCTTTTTTGATTGGCGCTACCACGGCTATATCGAGCTCGGAATACTCGAAATCAAAGTGTGTGGCCTGCACATGGCAAGATTCCCCGTTGTGCACCAGGAAAACGCTTTTTCCTCAGATCTCACTGAGAAACTGCGAAGGAAGCTCCTGTTTGATGGCTGCTCCGAGCTTGGCTCTCGGCCTGCTACTTAGCTTTGGTTAGTAGGGAATGGAGGAATGGGGTAGAATAACTATTACTACCATTCTTCCCCTAAACCCTAAACCCATATATCTTCTGCTACTTCCATTCCCTGCTAACCAAAGGTAAGGCTAGGCTGCTCTACACCGACCTGGAGCTTCTTCCCGAGCCTGAAACACCCGGAATCCAAACCCCAAAACCCTAAACTCTAAACCTAAACCCTACAGCCCTAAACCCTAAACCTGAAGCCCCTAAACCCTAAACTCTGAACCTAAACCCTACAGCCCTAAACCCTAAACCTGAAGCCCCTAAACCCTAAACTCTGAACCCGAACCCCACGTTGTTTGGGGAGGCAGAGAGGTTTGGGTGGCGATCGTCCCTGGATTGAGGTTTGAGGGCTTAGGGTTTTAACTGTTCGTCCTGGCGGAGCTTAGGGTTTAAGGGTTTGAGGGTTGAGGGTTTAGGCGTGGCGCGGCCATAGCCGTAGCGAATAAGCTGGCTTCGGTGAGAATGCGTTAAGGAGATTGGCGAAGCATATTATGACAGCATGCTGCAGGGGGGAGAGGGATAAGCGTAGTATAGTCAGAGTTCTGTAGGCTTCTCCCATGGTTGCCGAAGCATCGGTTGCAATCGCCGTCTGGTGTCATCTTCGCTTGAAATCATAACTTAGCTTCATGCGATACCATATCATATGCGTGTCCAGGCTATAAGACACCATGTACGCATTTTGAGAAACCGTATGTCTGATGGGTTTTGACCTTCTGCTTTCAGGGTGTACAAGATTTGCGTTGCCATAGATCTACTCAAAAGGTCATGAAATCAAGCGTTTAGGTGATGAGTAGGTTGGCAACTGGCTAACATAATCTGCCTCAAGCTGGATAATAACGCTTGACTATGCACTACTTCCCCGGATCATCCGGTCATTGATGTACCTGTGATCGAAAGCTCCAGTACGTACGCGGGCATCCAGCAGGATCGACGCTCGTTCGGAGCAGGGGAGGAAACTGAAAGAAGCAAAACACCTGCAGAGCGTGCCGGGGTTCATACTCGTAGCCATCATGTTAAGATCAATGGTTGCCAGTGAGGGTGAGGATGACGGCGCTCACAACGGACACCAGGAGCACCACATTGCAAGATGATGGCAACGCAGCGATGACTGTGACGATGAACATGTTTATCCTGGTAGCACAGGCTTTTCAAGGGCAAGTTAAGAGGCTCTCCAGACAAAAGTATTGATGCTGCTCAGAGATGAACGATTCTAATTCCACGCTGGTGTTGCTGGCATTTGCGGGTCTGGGTTTGGAGGTAGTACTTCAAGGGTGCTTATAACTTATAACGGCTTGTGGTGAAGATGCGGGCCTGTGGACGAGGCTCTGGAAATCTTATGGGAGAGACCAGCGAAGTCGCATGTTTCGAAGCTCCGAACTATGCAAGTCTTCCGGATTCCCAAAACGGAAATGAACCCAAATCCTTCGGATTGCCCTCGATGCCGGGTTCAATACCTACAACGTCGAAGCACGCAAGCCTGAAAACCCAGAAGTTTGTATGGGTACCGAGTTTTGGAGGATTGTTCTCGTGTTTTTTTTTTTCATTCTCAGTCCGGCATCCGATCGTTAAATCCTATATCTCTACCTCCATCGAACCCCAGATTTCCTGAGATTGGCGAAAGGGCATAATTAAGGACCCACATAGCGTCAACCTTGCCCCAGGTTGCGAGAGCGTAATTTTTTGAAACCCTTACGCAAAAGGCACAAAAGTACCTACAAATTAGTGTGTAGGGTTCCTAGGAAATCCCACTATGGATTGTGGGTAAGGACCCCTCCATACAGGTACCTGGGACCCTTGCCTTACCAAATCCTCAGCCCTACTTAGCGAACTAGCCACATGGGTAGTTGTCGAAATTAGCATCCCTCTTTGGGTACCCTAAAAAAAAGGTGCCGTATTATATTAGGGACACAAAAAGCGACCATAAGTTTGACAACCACCCATGTGTACGGCTACAAAACCTCTGGTCCTGATTGGGTGTCGTCGCAACCTATAAGCGTAAATCCTCAACCCAAAGTTACACATAAAGCCTAGCCTTGACATAACACCCTTTCTTGTATTCATTTTTGAAAATGCTGTAAAAGAGAAACAGTCCTAAATTCCCCTCGCCTCCTAAACCCTAAACCCTGAGAGAGAGAGCGTAAACCCTAAACCCTAGGAGGGAAAAAACCCTTAAGTTCCCGCGGCCCTCTACCTCGCCAGGCTCCCCGTGCCTTCCAGGCGGCCTTCGGCCACTCCAGAGCCATCGCCCGCGCCGGGGAGCACAGCTGGTTTAGGGTTCAGTGTTTATAGAGTTCGGCTATGAGAGTTTAGGGCTCGGGGGTTTAGGAGGGTTTGGCTGTAAGAGTTTAGGGTTTCGGGTTTAGTCCCAGCTGCAAGAGGATATAGGGTTCAAGGTTTCGGGTGCAGAGTATTGAGTACGGCTTTTGGGGGCCCAAGGGGGGCGGAGTGTTCGGATTCACTGTTACGGTCCAGGAGTTGGTATTGAGCGGGGAAGAGTTACAAACCGACTTCTTATCTTTGCTGATCGAGAGGCAACTTGGGTTCATCTCTGGGCATTTCATGGTGACTCTATCAGAGTACGTACTCGCTCTACCTCCAACTAGGTCCATCTAGCCTAAACCTCAGCTGCGCTGAACCACAAGCAGGCATCAGTAAACACGAACTTCCTAACACTCTTCTGAAATGCCCCCACATCCATGAACCTTCCCCCATAAGCCTGTCATCTTGAACCCTTAACGCTAATCTGATGCCGAAATCCTCTCTTAAAGACTCTTCAAGCCTGAGCCGAGGAAAGTCGTGGAGGTTCCGAAGGTGCAGCCAAAAGCTCCAGCGGCAAAGGCAGCAGAGGCTCCTCCGGTGGTGTCAGAGGCCAGCCTCGGGTGAGTGGGCGGGTTTACCAGCAGCTTGAAACTTGGCGGTGTATAGATTCAAAGTCTTGTAAGACTTTGCAATCTGAAATTCGAAGGTTTGGGAAGTAGCATTTCGCAGGCATTCGCAGGTTGACATTGAAAACAGATCAAGGACTTCAATGCCAAGACTTGCCGGCTTCACTTTGTAGCTACGCATGCCTCAAAGTACGAAGACCTCTCTCTGGGGTTATGACTTACTCTCCAAGTAAGGATTGCACTCTTAACGGGTCTGAAACAGGATCCCAAACATAGACACAGTGGGGACGCTACAGGAAAGTAGGATTTGATACCACGTCGTAGAAAATAGTTTTCCCATGTTGGGAACTGCTATTGTGGCCTGTGTGTGTGTGTGTCAATTTCGCACAAAGTCTGGTACTTGGGACAGCTTAGGACCTTTGGCACAGGTAGAGGTACAACAGGGAATACTATTTTGAGGTCACTTGTTACAACTTTGGTATACTATACACCCAAGCCATTGTCTCGAATTTTTAAGGCCCCAACATTATGTTGACCCAGCATGTCAGGGTTCGACTCAAAGAGTCCGGGAACCTTCTCAACATCGAGCCCTTCAACAAACAGAGCGGGCTTGGCTTCTCTGTATGAACCTTACTGCCTATCTTACATTACGACCTGTCGTTCAGTCTGTTGTTTGCCCCTTTCCTCTAAACCCTAAACCCTCAACGCTGACTACTTTGTCACATCGGCAAGCCATCGTCGCAGTCCTTGCCCCGGTTCTTCCGGATAGTACTGTCGAAACTCACCCTGAGCCCTTAAACACCCTGAACCCCAGAGGCTTGCGTGGAGAGTGCGAGTCGAAAACCTATTGCCCAAAGGGTCCAAGTATCATGATGGTTTGTACTTATAGGGTATTTTGGGCGTCCAAGTATCACTAGGGTATATACTTAGACCCCCAAAGTACCCTATAAGTATAGACCATAATGATACTTGGACCCTTCCTTAAGCCGGAATAACCTACCTCTTCAAGGACTTATATAAGGAAATCATAATAAGGAACCCTAAAAAGGGTAGGTTAGTTTGCAGGAGACCCCACTGGCGCGCTTGCAGTCTTTGCCCCGGTCAGAGCTACCGACGCACTGGGCCCAGGCGAGCCCGGGGATGCTTAGGGCCTCGGATTTTAGTGTTCAGGCTCTTAGGGAATTTTAGGGTTTTGTCTAGGCGTGGGACTTGATTACTTGAGCGGCTCAAGAACTCAGATCAGCATTGTGGGGTTATACATGCATACATACATACAGTACAACCCAGACCCAAGCCCCACCCATAGCTCTAGATACCCCTAAACCTTTGTCATGAAGGTCGACACCCTCCATCTCTCCTGGGACATGCTGTTGGCCGTCGGCACCCAGCTTGTCGCCGCGACCTCAACGGCTGTCGGGTCTCAGCGTTGGAACTGTTCACTCAAGTTGGTTGGGGGCGATTTGGGAACTGGTGGTGTCAGTTGTTCTCAGGTTCCTGGGAACCCTTTGCCAAAACATATGGGTGGACAATGGACGAATGGCGCGTGCCGGTACACCCATCCAATAGCACCTATCGCGGGCTGCAGTGCTTTGCAGGCTTGTTTCGGATTCTTGAGGTTGGTTGGGCGGTTCCTGATTGTTTAGGGTTGTGGGGTGTGGGTTTCTTGTGTTTGGGGTTTAAAGGTCCGCATAAGTTGAAGGTATGCGTACGAAGCTCCGTCACGGGATCGCTCTCGACGGGGTCTTTGACACCTAGGCAATCTCAGGATTGACTTTTGAAGGAAGGCTTCCCAAGGTAAAAGCCGACGAGTAAGAAGGGTATGCGTCACAGGTTCTGCCCTGCGAACACACATTCCAGGGACTGTGTGAAAGGACGCGCAAGACAAGGTAGTTGCACACGTATCTGTATACAAAACTCTTTGCATGTAGGTTCGCGTCTTCCCCGAATGCTCCCTGAAAAGTATACCTTTAACATTCACATTCGTACATATACGTAGATGCAAGTAAATAAATAAATAAATAAATATAAATAAATAAATAAATATATATATATATATATATATATATTCTCATGTGTGTGTGGTGTATGTGTATACATATATGTAAACATCCTGTTGTACATAGATGTATGTGCCAGAGATGCAGTTGGAAAGCATCTCAGTGAGGGGTGTGGTATCTACCCTGCCAGCCTATGACTGCATTTTGTCGGTACCCGACGCACAACATTTAGTAATCCTGCTGCACTTGCTGATGCAGTCTGGAAGCGAGCATGATTTTGGACGCATTATGGCTTAACTATTAGGGCTCGCAGGTATTTCCACTTGCTGTCTTTTGTTTGTCGCAGTCCCCGACAGCCTCTCTCACATCCATATTAGTATTGAGCTCGCATCTGAAGCCCGAGAGTCTAGAGCACGGAGCTGGCTCAGGTGCGTGGTCACTGGGTCGGCAAGGACAAAGAGACACAGACCCCGGCTCAGCCCTACCCACGGTGGCGATCATCCTTCGGTTCAGGGTGAAGGTCCTCCGTATTAAATGCTTTGGGGAGTCGAAGCTGTTGAAGGGTCTGTTGAGACACAGTGTGTTCTGCTCCATTTGGAAAGAATCTAGGGTTGTTTCGTGCTTTACTTTACATCAACCTTGCCCTTGATCTGGAATATGAGTTACTTACAGATGCGTTAGCGAAGCGGCAGGCTTGGGTTGCAGAGTTGTCCTTACTAATCTTCCAGTCGCCCGTGAACCTCTTATGCTTGGAGCTGGACGTTTGTGCCGGCTACATTTGGCTGAGAAGAGCGTACATACGTGCATGCATGCGTACCGACCTACCTAACTACCTACCTAGCCAACCACCTATTCACTTAACTATACCTACCCAGCCACCCCGACCACCCAACCACTGACCTACCTGCCGACCTACTTACAGACTAGCCTTCAGACAGATCACACATCCAAGCATACACAAGAGCCTCGCGAACCTCGACATCACGGGTTCCGGCAATGGCTTCGACGTCTCCTCCCGTGGTCATCGTGACGGGCTGGTCTGGAGCAGGCACCGACCCCATCGAGTTCAGGTTTCCAAGGTTTTGGTTTTAGAGTGTAAGTTTAAGTTTAAGATTCGACGGTCTGCGGCTTGGTGTTTTAAGTATAGGCCCTTTAGGCGCTATGGGAACATGCCGTAACCGCATGCCGGACTGACAGAATTTTGGAACCAAGACGCAAAAGCCAACAACGGCGCAGGCAAGTCAACTACAGGCGACTACCTTGCCCTGCAACTGGGCTGTCGGTACGTTTGGGGCTTGTGATGCAGGCCTAAACCATAAACCTTAAACCCTGTAATGGGTGCCTTGAGCCCGGGATCGGACTGCCAGAATTACCATCCAAGTTGTTTGTGCCTACAGTGTATATACGGCCTCGGCATTACTCTGTGCGAATGTAAGATCTCGTCAACCACGTGCCGATGGCTTGGGTTCATACTGTCTCAGGTTTTGAATAATTGGTACTAACACACCCTTACGGGTCCTTTTTAAATTCCTGGTTCGAATTGGACTATTATATAGCACGAAAACTGCACAATTTTGAACCAATTCCTTATAAGATCCTTTTGAATATTTGTATCGCGCGGTCGTTTATGAAGGGGCTAAGCGTTTTGTGAAGGCTTGGATCAGACTGGCTCGCTTCGTGTGAGATTGAGCTGGATGAAGCTTCAATGCTTGGTCTTCGGTTTAGGGTTTTAGAGCTAAGATTTGCCTATAGACTTCGAAATCCGAACACTTCACGCCCATTCCTGCGCGTGAGCACCACACGCCACGGGCCTTCGGCGCTAGGTTATTGCCTCGGAACCATATACTGGCTGCGACCAGGTTTATTGGATTGTACAGGCTGCCGCCCAGGCCAAAAACATGCAGTGGGAAGCCGTCTAGTTCAGGCTCGAGGGCTTGGGGTTTAGGGTTGCCCCTCTCTGTAGGTGTTTTGGCTCAAGATATTCTTATCATGTTGCTATTCTTCGTCAGCAACATGTACAGTACAGAGGGGACCCACTCTATCAGCTCAGTCTGCCACTAAGGATGCTCCCATCCGGGCCAGGCACAACGAAGAAGTGGCAAAATAGCACTGTCAGTGGCCAGCTGCGGAGAACAAAATGCTACAACTGGCAGAAGCCGCCGCATTGATCGAGCTTGCGAAGTCGAAGACTAGCGGCAACGTCAGAGCCGCTCCAACGAAGTGTTCCAGGGCTTCCAGGCCGTACAGTGTGACCACTGCAACCTTAGGCAAGGCATGGCCGTGTGTGAGCGTGCTCGTGGCGCAATTGCCGTGGCATGTTCTCTGGAGACTGTAGAGCTTGAGCTTGCGCTGAATCTCAAGAAGACCGCTTTCATGTCCCACCAGTCTGTTCTCCTGCAGGTCGCTGCGGTTGGTTTTCCTCCAGGATTTGTGCTTGGACAAATCAGGTAGGGTGCGTCCGGCATCATCTCAAGGAGACCCTCGCGCATTGCGACGTGGGAGGCAACGGTGGTTCCTCCGACATCACAGCAGTTCGTCTCCATGCGCTCGGTAAGGCTACACACGCAGCCTTCCAGACTTTGCACCGATGCACGTGCAGCGGTCACTGGTCCGACTTGTCCACCACCGTCCGTCCTTGCCACACATACATCGGTGGAACGTGGTTCTGGGTCCTGTTTCGCACGAAATGGCCCGGGAGGATCCTAAGCTGTATAGGAAGGAACAAGTAGTGAGAGCAGAACCAGTGCGAAAGTCGCGTCCGCCGAAATCATGATGCGCGGTTGATGGGTCTACACACAGTCCACTGCGGGAGTGATGGGTCTACACATAGTCCACTGAAGGTGCGAGTGATACAGAATAATGTTTCCCCAGCCCGCTACGTCCTGGAACCCAAGCCCTGAGCCTTTGCCTTTTTGTGCCTTCCGCGTCTCGTTGATTTTGAGCTGCTTTCCTGGCTTACGTTTCTTGCCACATTTTTTGTCTTTGCAGATTGCCTTTTTAGTTCGTCTTTCGGGTTGAGCTTCTTTCCATCACAAGCACGGGTATGAACTACTTAAGATTGGGGCGCGATAAACTACCGTGGCGACAGGAAAGGCGCGACAGGCGAACATACATTCAACTTATGGTTTGCGGGCTTCGGCTTCGTGCCACAAGGTCAGTTCTTGATCGGCAGCAGTAGAGGTTGCGGATATGGTCGAAGTACCGGACACGAACCTGTGAGATGCTAAATGTGTGTCCGCTTGTGCCCTCAGCTGCTGCGTTCAAGGTACCATGGCTTCTACCACCTGGATGGGGACAACATCATGCGGGAATCCGGAGAGAAAAGCAAAGAGTTGACAGCCGGTCTCGCCGCCAGCTTGCAAAATCAGCCTCGAAGCCTCAAACAATAGAGACAAACTTGAGGTTGCTACCTACGGGTTTTCATAATTTAGTGCCACGCTTGGTCCGTTTGGTATTGTTCAACCACTTGGCCTTCCATTTCCGGGGCATCGCGGAAATAAGATACTCATCGCAGAGACGTAGTCACTCCCTTTGGACTATGCCGGGTCGGGCATCAAGAGGCACATATTCCGAGAGACGGGTGCAGCATAGAGGTCGGATTAATGAGTACAAGTATTCCCTTATGGTCCCGTCCGTTTAATCGTGCAGCACAAGCTACCCAAAAACCCATTCTGACTATTAAAGCCCATATTCGGGAACCCAAAGGCCAGGGAAGAATAGGTTCGAAGAAAAATTGGGGTCTCAGCATGAGTACCTCGGAACCCCAAACCCGGACCCCTGAAGCCTACACCTACACCCCATGTCCTTGACCATGAATCTTGACCAACACCTTAGGCCTCAGGCAAATAGGGGGGTATCATAAACTATAACTGGGACTTCATCGGTTGGTGTATGTAAAGCATACACTATAGCTGTTCAGGGTTAAAAACACAGACACTGCTGACTTCCTGAAGTGAGAACAGTGGGGGGAGCATTCAGCCGAGGTCAAAGCCTTCTACGAGCACTGGTTCAAGAACCGGCCAGCGCCAGAGAAGCTTTGGACACTTGGCTTTGGGTGTTGGGTTTCTTATCTTCAGTTCTTAGGCAAGGGGTGTTAGATTTGCTTTGGGTCTTGGTGTTTGGCGTAGCGCTTCTTAACACGTCTGAGAAAGTCTCAGCGCTGGTCTGAGGCCGGTTTAGGGTGCCGTAGGAGGTTGTTCAGCGAAGCTTTGCAGTTCATGGTCCAATGCATGAGGAGTGGACCTCCAAAAATCGCTGAGATTCCCAGTTGCGAGGTCAGGCATCTCCTTGTCAGAGGGTTTAGGAACCTCCCATCCCATGCGGGCATGTACAAGTCTGTGCAGAAGGAACCTAATCTATGAAACGATTGTATATCTCGGATCACAGCACACCCAGCTGTAAATTTCAACAACGTATGGCCAACTAAGACTGTTTTGTTCTTTAACCCTATAAAGCACTTAACCCTGAAGCTCTAAACCCTACGCCCTTCGGCCCTACAGGTTCACTGTAGATATTGCTATGGTAACTAAAACCCTAAACCCTGAAACTCTAGACTCTCAATCCTACACCCTACCCTAAAAGCCCTCGACCTCAAAACTGCATACTCCGAAAACTGCACTAAACCCTAAAACTCCAAACCCGAAAAGCCTTAAGCCCTAAATCCTAAATCCAGACACTACACTGAGGAAGCCATATCTCGACGCCTTGGCATCACAGTGCCTGGAAGCTCTCAAGTAAGAGGCCCAAGACGGTCAGGGTTTAGGATGTATGGTTTGGTGTTTCAGGCTTTTGTTTTTTATACTGTAGGGGTTTCGGGTTTACGGTTGGGGCTTAGGGCGTCAGGTTTTAGGGTTGAGGCCAGTAGTTTGGTACTTGTGGCTTGGAGTGAACGTACGTTTATCGCTTCTTGTGAGAATATATTGTAGCATCCAGTGGCTTCCGCATCCTGGCATCGTCCCACTGCCCACCGAACCCTGCACCTTTCGTAGTGTAGAGTCGAGGCCCTGTAAACTCTCCAAGGGTAAAACGAGGGACCCTTAATGGGGACCCCTAGGTACACACCCTTAATATAGCTGTTATATACCCATTATATAGCCCATTACAGGGTAGGGGTCCCCATTAAGGGTCCCTCCTTTCCCCCTTTGAAATGTGGAGCTTGGGGTTCGCTTGGCTTCATTGGGCATGTGTGGTCGGGGTTGGGTGCAAGAATTAGTGCTTTGGGGTTCAGGCACTTTTGAGGTAGATTTCGGTGTTTGCGTATCGACAACTGTGCGAGTATAGAGCTCCGATGTTCGGAGTGGAAGTTCTCCACCACAAAGCATCAACTACCCATATTCCGACATTGGTGACAGTGAATGCCCGCGAAAGTATCGTCAGCTTCCAATTCGTGAGCAGTACCAGCATGGAGGATCAGAATCCTTGAGAGCAAACAGCAAGAGCAACTGCAAACATTGGTGACACCAGCAGCAACAGCACCGGTTGCTGTCTGCTAGAATGCTAGAACAGCCATAGCATGTCAAGTTAGTGGAGAAGGAAAGAAGATGTTCGAAATCTACAATTTATCCCGCAACCCTATTGGGTCCTCGACGTCTTCAGAGGTCTCACGACCGGATTGCGTTGACGTTCTCCGTCTACAGGCGTCTCGAGGCCGAAAGTTGTCAGTCTGATGTCGCACTAGTTTTGGTTGCGCTTGGTGCCCGCTCCTGTTCGCTCTTCGTATGTATATCATATTCAAAAGTTACTCGGTTTTATTCATGATAGCAAATAGCTAGTGATATGTTGCCACAGTATAGCACAGAAATCTTGCTTGAGCTTAAGCTGAGCAAAGGAGAGGCACGGGACTACTTTCGACAGCTTCTGCCTGGCCGTGTCTCCTTTCTCAAGCTGCTTGACTGAATGTTCCGATAAAGCTCATTCCTCCAACCGAAAGATTTAATATCTTAGTTTCATGATTTTGCGTAGGGTCTAAAGGCCTTATAGTTAAAGGATGTTGATGGTGTCACGACGAGAGAGTTCCATCTTTCGCACTCAACCACAGTACCCTGAACCTTAGCTCAAGAGCCCAGTCACCCATATAGTAGGTCAGTATGCCGGGTTCCGGGCATGTGAGTGTTTTCCATGGGAGTTTCCGAAAATAGGGGACCTCAACATAGTTTATACACTAAATAGAATTAGGATCCTTATTATAAGGACCCCGTAGTAGGGTGCCCCTAATCTTCGGAAACTCACTTATGGGGTTTTGAGGGGGCAGGAACCCACCACACAGGCGCCTCCAGGGCCACCTCTGCCATATCTTGTTCACAAAACAAAATCATCAAGTACTTGGGTTAAGGTGATTCCTGACAGCCCAACCACTGAATGTCAGTCGGGTTTAGAGTGCAAGAATAACGTTGAAGGAAAGGGAGTTGAGTTCCGGCCCTAGTGGCCTCAGCAACGCACCACAGAACTGAACTCGTCCAGCGTTGTTTATTGTTGGGTCGGAGGGCGGGGGGTGTTAGGATGCAGGGGTTGTTATATCAGTGGAAGACTTGGGTTCATGGTTTAAACCAGACGGCTGTGTTTCAAGTGACTTTTTGTTGGATCGGGGTCTAACGGCAGGGATTTCCAAAAAATCAAAGTGGCTTCAGGTTTTGAGATGCAGGTTGTCGTCGCCACATGCCTCACACTAGGGAAGCTTATTGTTACACAAGGGGCACTCGCTAATCAACCAAAAACCCGACGTCGGGAAACCTTATTACTCAAAGGATCTAGTAGATCTCGAGAAATAGCCCTTCTAGTTTTGGATCCCACAACTTCCGAAGCCCTGCCATTGTTTATCACTTCATGAAATATTTTGTTGTTACTCAAGTTGCTTGAAGGGCTCGTGCAAAAGGGTTTTCGACAGCAAACCCTAAGCCCCCCCAAGTGTGAAACTGCAGGCTAGACTGCGACCCGGACGTGGTGGTCCGAAGTGCTGCTGGGATTGGAGTCAGGGGTCCGGAATAGGGTGTATGGCAGTGGGCTGTTTGAAGAATCACCAAGCTGCCTGAAAAGGATTCGGGGGTAAGGGTCAGGGAAGTGTTTCAGGGTGAGGGTGCACAGGTGAGCGCTGGTGTTACCTGCTGCAGCTTTTGGGCGTAGACTGTTTCAAGATTCGAGGTTTTTCGGTTCCCTCAGTACCCAAGCCCTACTAGACTCGTTACTACACCCTCAATCCAGATTCTAAGGATTGATCGTACCAACTTACGGGAAACACACAGAAGAGAGCGCTGCTGTAGTTTGAGCCATGAATGTCTAAACCCCTAAACTCTGCATCCTAATCCCTCGCCCGGATTGCACAAGCTGTGAGAGTTGAAATCCCTTTGGCGCCTTGCAGTTTTTGGACCCCTAAACCCTAAACCCTAAACTACTCGAATCCTCGCCTGCTTGTCTAGTTGTGAGTGCTGAAACCCCTATAGTAGAAGCCCGAAAGTTGGACCATCATGACCCTCATGGCCTTAATGTAAAGTATAAGAAATCCTAGCACTGATCCTCCAAAAGCCACGTTCCAACTTTCTGGCTTCTACTATATGGAGTCCCAAAGATCTCGAGGCCTTGGCCAGGCTCGAGAAATACATGGCCCTGAGTGGAAAGACCGTGGAAGACTGGTGGCACCTCACCCGAAAATTCTGGGTCCAAGCTGGTAGTACAATTACGTACTCTGTGCAGGTACTAGGCCCCATAACCCTTTAAGAACCCGAATCTAGGGTTTAGGCTTAGGGCTTAAGGTCTAGGTAATGTTTAGGTAGTATGCTTCAAGTTGGGTAATTCGGGGTTAGGGGATGAAAGTTTCAGGGCCTCAGGGAATTCGGATCCACAGTCTACCTGAACTCCCAAACCATACAACATGAGTAGGTCATGACCCGGTGGTTGCAGGGTATAATCCCCCAAAGCAGTAGAGGTCGTGGGATTGGATCCCCAGATAGGGCTTACTGAGATCGTAAAGGGTGTAATGTGTCTCCGTGCGTTTGTCTCGAACTGCCCCTCCGGGGTGGGAAGTGCAGCTGATTAGTAAAAGTTGTATTCGCTCGTCATGGAAACCAACCTACCATCGCATATACCCTTCAGCCCAACCCTACGGCTTGAATCCAGACCCTGACTAAACCCCGAACCATCCTTTTTCCTTGACCCCTAAACCCTAAACCGTCCTTGGGCTTGAGGTTTTGCAGCTTAGCGGCTCAAGGTGTCGTGGTAATTGGGCTTAAGGGGTTAGGGTTGGGTTTCGTGCTTCTGGTGTGAGGAATGAGGTTCAGGACGTGCATGGATCAAAACTTACAGTTGCCCAACACACGTTGGACAGATCAGCTTAACTCGTGAACACCATAACAACAGGCTTCATTCTTGAAGGTTTGTGGTATGATGCTGAACTCAGGGCTGTGGGCTTTCCGGGCTATATGAGCGAAGCAGTAGCTGAAGCGAAGAAAGAGATGCAATGAGGCAATAAGGAGCTATGAACGAAGGGGCCCACATGAGCAGACGTAGGTCTGAAGCGCTACGCCAATATCAGCCGCTCCCTGATCCAAACCCTGAAGCTTTCAACCGGCAGGAAGCAGGAGCAGAAGGATCAGGTCTACGGCGAGTACAGCTATGAGAGCTACAAGAAAATGCAGCTGGCCGAGTCTCTAGGCATCTCTAGGCCGTTTGAAAGTCTTCTACGCTTTTCGGTTCGGCCGGTTTGGAGGATGCAGGTATGTGGTCGAGACTGATTCAGGTGACTTGGAGAATGCAGAGTTTGGGGTAGACTTCGAGGTTTAGATTAAGGAAAAAGGGTGGTTTGGGGTTTAGGGCTACTAGGGCTTGGAGGCTACTGGGGTTTGGAGTTTAGGGCTTATGTAGGCCAAGATGATTGCTGGTCATAGGCTCGCTAGACTTGAGTCCAGTAGCAAAAAGGGTTCAGGGTTTAGGGTTATAAACTAACTCTTTCAGCTAGCGGGCCTGGACTTTCTTGGCACCTCTGCTTGCTGAATCTGAGAAGCTCCATCAGCCCCTCTCAACTCTCCAACTTGGTAGCCCAAGCCCCTGCTGCACCCTTTCAGCGGCTTTGACACAAACCTTCGCAAGCCACAGCAGAGAAATCACCGAATGAAGCGAAACAAAGCCCCCTCAACCTCAACCCTGTGAGCCCATAGGCAGCCAGAAACACTAAGACACTAAGATAAACAAAAATAACACTGAACTTGAAGCATGCCAGACAGAGGAGGCCTGCAACACAAAAGCCTTTAACCGAGGCTTCGAACCCTGTGCCTCTTTCCCAATCTCCGGAAAGCTTTCAGCACGAAGGTTCCTCTCAGGAATGGAGCCGTTCGACCCGGAGGAGGTCCGGGAGTTCCTTACCATGTGGTTAAAGCTGTCGCTGCTATGGGAACTTCAGTGAAAGTTGCAAAGTGAACTCTGAACCTTAAACAACCTCGCGAGTGGGCATAGATCCCGGCCATGCGAGAGGGAAAACAACCCTAGACTGTAGACTCTTACAGATTTGTAACTGTGGGGGTATTGCTGCCGGCATGAGGAGCACTGCGTCACGTGTGACGTTTCCGCACGCGGCGCAGCCGCAATGCGTGGCGCGGGCCTTACAAACAAAGAGCGCTTCCATGAGCTCTAGGGCTCTAGGGTTAACACTCTAGGGTTCCTAGTGTAGGGTTTCGGTATGTGCGCAAAGCCTGAAGTTTGCAACCCACACGAGCACTTTTCCAAACCCTTCCGAGATCCACCTTGACATGATGTCGATCCAGAGACGCTAAACCTGAAATGTTTGAAAAGTAAACGGTGCGGAACCCCCTTACATCTTCCAAGCTCTGAAGCCACACCACCATGTTCTGACTGACGAAAATTCTTCAAGGAATTCGCTTGATGCAGATCCCAAGCCGGCGATGCTGGGATACTTCGTAGTAGGGTAAGTCACCTTTGCCCCTTTGTGGAGCTTGTCGCTCTTATGCAATCCCAAAGTGCAAAGGTTCACTTTCATCTCCCCTGGACAACCTTTCAAGAGGTGATAGCATCGTGTGAAATTTACGGAGTCGACGGCTCGGAGGGTGAAGGGAGGATCCAAAACGCTGAACCCTAAGCTTCAGAGTCACCGAGGCATCTCTGAATCTCTGGCGTTGCGACCTCCAGAGGACTTGATTCGGTGCAGGGCTTTTGTGCTTGGGCTTCTATAGGGCCTTCCTACTATAATGTAGGGGCCTTAGCGATTAGAATAGGGTTTTGGGGTTGCTTTTTGTATAAGTGTAGTATAAGATGCCCCCAGACCCTATTCTAATTCTTAAGGCCCCTACATTAGGCTTCTACCCTAACGCTCTCATACGATAACCTGGTTATTACCAGTAACAGCATCTATACAAAAATGTTGTGTACCCTGAGAGCGGGATTGGGTGTAGCCCTGCCGGGAGGCTCGGCATTGAAGGCGGTTTTGAGGGTAGAGCACTTCGGGTCCTGGCGTTGGGTTGTGGGTTTACTTGACATCAAGATCCACACTTTCAGTAGTAGCTGATCCGAGGGTAGAGTTCGAACAGTAGGAACAGTGAGATGCGTTGCATGAAATCGCTGGGAAGTGAGGCCATATTATGTTCATCAAGCTTGTATGGTTCTTCATGTGTGGAAACCTTCCTCGACTTTATCATGGCAGGCTTGCCGTGAGACCCTACTGTTGTAATGATGTTTTGCCGTCAAGATGCATACCTGAAGCGGAAGCTACATCTGCATCAACTGACATTTAGAACGTTGTCATACCAAAGCTATTCCAGGTAAAGCCCTGTACATACTTCCATGCAGGTACATGTAAGCACACGCATAGATATATGCATAACCTCACATGCATGTGTGTGTGTGTGCATGTGTGCATATCTATATGTACTTATTTGGTTATTTGTGTTTAGACACAGAGAGAGAGAGAGAGAGAGAGAGAGAGAGAGAGAGAGAGAGAGAGAGAGAGAGAGAGAGAGAGAGAGAGAGAGAGAGAGAGAGAGAGAGAGAGAAAGAGAGAGAGAGAGACAGAGAGAGAGAGAGAGAGAGAGCAATAAAAGCCGAAGCAAGACCCCAACTCCGACTCCCATACTTAATTTTAATGTTTTGGGCCGGGCTCAAAGCCGTGACCTTCCCGTGGCAGCTGCTCTTCTGCCCCTGGCTGGGGCCTCAGTCCCGGCGTCTTCACCATGGAGGGGCCTCGGTAGTTCCTTGTATTCCCTAAAGGGAGCTCCAGAAAGTTGGAATATGGTTTCAGGGTAGGATACCTTATAATTTACCATAAAGGGTTTAGGATAACCATATTCCAACTTGCTGGCTTTTACTTTAGGTTTCTTTGTATGTTTTTAGTATGACCCCGACTCAATCAACATCAAAATCCCTCGAACCCTCAACCGTGTAGCAGGGCAGACAAGAAGTAAACTTTTGGATCCAGCTTGGGTTTCCCGACATTGCTTCACTTTGGAGCTGGGAGGTTTCAGTTGAGTGAGAAAGAAGCTTAAACAGTTTTTTCAGGGCTCCCTATTATAGTCACGCGATCATGGAGCCCAAAGCCCAATTCTAATAAGTAGGGCCCCTTTAGTAGATCAAATCGAAGGGAACTCGAGCGACAGCTCCTGGCAACATCCTCGCATGTCTGGATCTAGGAAGGACTTAGGGTTTAGGGTTTAGGGGATACCAGTAGCCAGTAGCCGAAAAGATCAATCTTTCGGGGGTTCCTTTTTATAGTTTCAAAAAAAATATGTATATATATATATATATGTAGTTCCTTAAACCGGTAGCATTTTGGGTCACAAGTAGGGTTTAAATCGGGGAATCAAGAGTTTCTCAGGGCCAGGTCATTCCCGACGCCTACACCCCAAAACCCCCAAATCCCAACATCCTAAAGCCCTCAGGATCTGCAACACCACTGGGCCCTGCCACCTCACAGCCTGAAATTCCGGAACTCTAGGACCCAACACCCGTCCTTATCGATCCCTAGTGGAATCGCTTCAGAACCCGCTGTCAGCAGAGGGCCCCAAGCATTGCCCCGCAATGGCGCCGCGCCCATGGCTGTCACCCGGCTTGATGGCTGTCATGGCTGTTTAGAGATAGGGCAAAAGTTGGGTTTGATCGATCTACACAGAAATTCTAGCAACTTGGGAAACCAGGGTAAAACCTCTGCAGCCAGGACGTCAAACCTAAACTCTACGACTTTGCAACCTAAACGCCAAACTACAACCGTACTGGTAGAAACCCCAACCCTTAAACAGCTAAACCCTAAAGCTAAACTTTACAAACCTGAGACCCAATGATCTAATGAGAAGACGGTAGCCCCTGTGTCACACCGACTCGCACCATGGCCCTCGCCTGGCCAGTCCGAGATGTGAGAACGTAAAGCTACTCGAAGCCGAAACCCCAAAAAAACCCTAGACCCTAAACCCCTGATCCCCAAGACCCTAAACTCCTGATCCCCTAAGCCCTGAACCCCTGATCCCCTAACCCCTACACCCCTACACCTGGCACAAGCGAGAATCCTTCTTGATACTGTACCACGCCGACTGTGTACCCAAGAACCTCGCCTGGCATTGTCCGAGTTGTGAGAGCGTAAACCCCTACACCCTAGGACCAGCCTCCTCGCAGCGGTGCTCTTCTCCATGGCGACTCGATCGGTCTTGCGCTTCACGCCGGGGCTCACGAGGCCTCTTGCGCTCAGAGGATTACTTTGGTGTTCAGGGTTTAAGTAGGGTTTAGAGTTTAGACTGTCGGGTTTAGGATGCGGTTCCGGTGTCCGCGATGCGATACTGGCTGCTTGAGTGAGTCTGGCAAAGAGTCGTGATCCGAGGGAGAAAGAGCATGAGAAGTCTAATCGAAATGAAGCGCGTGCTTGCAGTACATTAAGCAAAGGTGGTAGCTAGCGTCATCTGATCGTATGTAGTCATGTGAACCTGAAAATACTGAGGAAGGTCGATTTCTGCTAACCTTCAGGTGCCAGCTATTACTAAGGTGAGGTGGGACTCTTGGCGTTCCGTCTTGACGTGGTCGGCATCGGCAGTAGTGTAGTGAACTTGCGAAGATCTTCGTCCGATCGCATGTGTTCCCGAGTTGAATCCCGGCCCTACTTCGGGCTCCACAGTAGTTAGTAGTTCCTTTTGTGGGTTCATATTTAGAACGCTGTTAGGTAATCCCAAAAAGGAACTACTATGGAGCCTATGGGTAGCTGCTAGTAGTGGCGGAAGTCTTCAACTAGGATACCCCACCAGGAAGGATGTTTTTTGGATCCGACACGCGGCCTGTCAGTCTTATGAGCTTACTATATACTCTATTGGTTGTAGTTCTCGCGTCGTGTCAAGTGTTTCCTCTTTGGTTTTACCAAGCCGACTATTGACACATGCCTCGGCGGGATTGTCCGAGTTGTGAGCGTCCAAACCCACACGCTAATCCCCACAATTAGCCTAAACCCTAAACCCTAAAAGCCCTAAACCTGAAAACGAAACCCTAAACCCCTGCAGCCTAATCCCGTAAAACCTTAAAGCCCGAAGACTGAAACCTTTCAAAGTCGGGGAGGCCCCACGGGCCTGGACTGAAACCCATTTTAGTGTTTTTGGGTTTAGGTTTTAGCCCATGCTGAGGGCATAACATCTAAGAACACACGAAGCAGCGTGTAGTGTAAGGTTTAAGTCCTAGAACCACACCATAAGCTTGTATGAAGCGCGTTATATGCCAGTATCATTCGCTGCTTGCTTCGGGCTGAGTCCCGGTTCACGACGTAGGGTTCAAAATTTACTTCAGGGCTTGGGGTTCGCATCGTATCTTATGACTGAACCCTCAGGGCTTCAGGTGTTAAATCGAACTTGTCAACTCAACGGAAGCCTTGAAGCCCCCAAATCCGCAAACCCCAAACTCCACATCCCCAAAATGCAACGCAGTCCTACACGATCGACTTCAGCGATGGCGGTAGAAGCGGCCAGGAAAAAGAAGGCCACTGGGGAAAGTGCCATAAGGTTTAGGGTTTAGGGGCTTTGGGTTTAGGGTTTTGGGGGTTAAGGGGTTTAAGGCTTGCCATAAGACACCAGAAGATACTGTCACTGGTGAAAACAACGGCTCTACGAACATGCGTTTGTAGAGTGCCGGCAGACAGAATAGTGCAAGAGCGTGTGTTGCTGTGTAGCACGGTTAAGTTTCTAATCCAATCAGAAGCTCTGAGCTGACACGATTTTCCATATGGCTTAAACCAGTACAAACCTGGTGTCTATCCTTGTCTGTAAGAGCCCGGACAGTTCGCGGAAGAATTCTTCATCTATGTGGCTGTCATGGGCTTCGACAGGGTTTTCGTGAACCCCCGACGCGACTTCCGACACAAAAACACCTACACCCTCAACCCAAAGCCACTAATTAATGGAATCCTGGTAGGTACATGTCAAATTGACGGGGCATCTGACTGTATAGAAGGACCTGAACGTTAAGATCCGTATCATGATCTCTTTCAAGATGGTGGGTTCTTAGCCAATGTTCGAGCCTGGTGCCGTTAACACTAGTTCCTGTCTAACCATCGTAGGCAAACTAAGGTTTGGGGTTTAGCGTTTAGGGTTTGGTCTGGGAAGCCTTTGACATAAGAAGATGCTGGGGAAACTTGGTCACTGCATGCCATGTGGGCCGTCAAACTGGCAAGCAAGCCTTATACAACCCTTACCTAGGTTCGAGTGTTCAGGGTTTCGGGGTTTCGGGTTTAGTTCAGAGTTTAGGGTCCAACCAAAAGAGCGGCAGAGGTCGCCGTCGACTTAGATGCGCCACCTAAGCGGCCCTTGACATCCTACATGCGCTTCGCCATTGAAGTCCGTCCGGAGGCTACCTGGGGTTCGAGGGGTTTCTAGGGGTTTAGGGATTCGGCTTCAAGTGGGCTTCTAGGGCCTTAGGGCGCGTCATAGGGTATCTTTCAGGCGGGGCGGGGGGTGATTGAAGGGCTTAATTGGGCATCATACCACATAGGGGGTGCTTTAGGTTTCCGGGCTTTGGGGTATTAGGGTCGATTGAGTCGTGTCGCGATTTCCTAGACTTTACCGGAAACGCATCTGGGAGTTTCCGAAAATTAGGGGTACCCTTATTTTGGGGTCCTTATAATACGGATCCTACTATCTAGGGTGCTATGTAAGAGTCCCCTATTTTCGCAAACCCC